ACATTAAACGTCGTAACCTAAAAAAATTGGTAATTATGTGACGTTACACTCGCCCGTTGCATTTCTGTCGCGTAGTGTTGGAATCGAGCCAAATCGATGTATCTTTAAAATTGTTACATTTAACGCACCGAACTACCCATGAAGGCGTGGGGAAAAGGAGATTGTTAGTAATGTGGAATGCTGATCTTATTGCTAGCAATGTACCATGTCAGGTTGACCTCCACGCGGTTCCCCCTGAAAAGTATTGAGATAAATTTCTGGTGAATTTGTCACAATGGGCTACCTGACTTGACTTCATGTTCATCCTATCATCCTCCACTGGTGCCACGTCAGCGTAAACCATTAGCGCAGGCGGGTGCACCATTCCATTATCATAAAAAAACCCATAAAGGCGAGGGGGGATTGCTAGCAATGGACTAATAACACCATTACTAGCAATGTACCATGTCAGGTTGACCTCCGTTCGGTTCACCCTGGAAACCATCGTGGTAAATCTTCATTTGTCATGATGGGCTACTCTTGAAGACGAGGGGGGATTACTAGTAATGTGGACTGATAACCCTACTGCTAGCAATGTACCATGTCAAATTAACCTACCACTATGGTTTCCAGGGGTGGATCGCTTGGTCCACCCTGAAAACCATAGTTTGAGGTACAACGCTACCAATGCAAGGTTTGAGGTCTTTTTTGAAGTGGCAGCAAAACTATTAGGGAATCATTGGTCTATACTAATGGGACATATATATTCGTAAACTAGAGACGTTTATCTAAACTTCCTACTCTATTTTTTTTTTCTGGAGGCCGTGGATATTGGTTTCATACTGTCCAATGACTTTCAGAATAAAAAAATAAAATTTCTGATTAGTCAGTACAGTATACAACGAGATAGAACTAAATCACAAAATTTCAACTGCCACCATTTAATTTTTTGTTTTTATTGGTTTGTTTGGACTGTTTTTATGGATGATAATGTAATGGTGCACCCGCCTGCGCTAATGGTTTACGCTGGCGTGGCACCAGTGGAGGTGAACATGGGGACAGGTCAGTTAGCCCATCGTGACATATTTACCAGAAATTTATCACGATGGTTTCCAGAGGGAACCGCGTGGAGGTCAACCTGACATGGTACATTGCTAGTAATAGGGTCATGAGTCCACATTACTAACAATCCCTCTCCCCTGCTTGGACCTGTAGCACGGCAACCCGCATAGATAGATAGATTGCACCGCCAACAATTTATCTCTGCACAACTCATGGTTGCCTGGTAGAAAATGCCATTAGGTGTTAAGTCCGCCATATGTACTTTTTACCTGTGTATGACGTGCATTAAAGTTATTTAAATAAATAAATAAAAATAAATAGATCTATTGTGCTCGCCCTTTTTCAAATTTCGCTACCTAGACCCGTAAGGGACAAGAATTGAAGGATATTCTTAGGAGCGATGGTTTTATCTCCTCAGAAAAGAGTGTAAACTTTCAAAAGGAGATATTATATATATGCATAAGTGGGCTACAACCACATAGGATGTCTATTATAGTACATCATTCACTTGTATTATAAATCTGTCGCCTTTTATATAGTTCCATCAAGAAGTTACCGCACGAACAATGAACTGTTGTCAAATTATAAATAAAAATATTGCAAACAAAGGGAATTCGTGACACGAAAATGAAAAGCAAAGCCCATCAGAGTGATGAATGAGGAGACACAATCTAAACAGTAATTAATGAATCCAAATATAAGCCACGAGGGAGGAATGCAAAAAATTATGATAATAAAATCAACATACAAAACGCTGGAAACAAAAGTGGGCATGTCGCTGAAGAATAATTAACTGAATTAATGTATTTGTACGTACTAGTAGTGGCCACAGTGGTCGCAATACTACCATAATTAATTTAACATTCTGTAAGACTATAGACAAATAATATTAAAGACAAACAATATTGTCTATTCTCAATTTGACCACAAAAAAAGTATTTATGCATGTGTGTGTCATATACATGGTAATGTGTAATGTTTTTTTTATTTATTTAATGTATTTTTATGCATAATTACAAAAATATTAGCATCCTGCAATCCTTCTCTATATAAACTATAATTGCGCAAAATTTAATACGCTCTGTCCGCATAATTTTGGTAAAAAGGGGTACAAAGTATTGGTTTCCCTTATTAATATATAGATTAATGTAGTTATAGATGCAACTTGGTATAGCAAAAAATGTGACAGTCCACTAGATTCTTATATTGTTAGCTAAACTTGTTTATTTGTTGAATTATCATTTTAAGAGTCGAGTGAGGGAACAAATATATCTAATGATATAGTAGAAAAGTCATAAGCCAATCATTATTTGGACTAAAACTAGCTTCATACGGTTTATTTATTGTTTTAAAAATTATCCGATACGAAAAAATAATAAAACGTATAGTCTCGGCGATAACAACTACACCTGCTCGTTCCTTTGCCTCTAAATTGTAACAGAAAAAAAAAACAATTAGTGATTGACTAAAAAAAATATTTGGTGTAATAATAATGATCGATCAATCGGGTTAAAATACGTCGTAGTTTGGCTAAAAGGGGCGGCACTAGTGATGAGGTCAATGCTTCAAGCTTATAGAAGGCATACATTAGTTTACTAGAAAGGAATTACAGATAATATCCATTAGCATAGAGTAATTCACTTTTATCCGGTGTAATTTTCGCGCCAAAAATACTGTGACATTTCTTATAGATAAATGTATGACATACTTCTTTTTTTTTTATTTATTATTTTACGGCTCTGGATACAAGTCCTTTTTAGCCCAGTGTTGGAAATAAATTTATATAAAGTCTTGAATAGTGCAGGCCTTGATAAGATCTCTTCTAGAGACTTTGGTACTTCATTACTATGCTCTTGAATCTCGTCAATGAGTAATAATCTGTCTAGTCCGTATTTTCTACATTTGAATATAATATGATTGTTCTTTGTTCCTATGCATTGTTATGGATGCATTGGAATGAATGAATGAAAAACACTTTATTGTTCCTCTCACAGAAAGAGTAATTACAGAAATTAATATGTACATTAAATATGAAAATAATAACAAAAAAATTATAATATAGAGGTAACAATGGGCGGCCTTATCGCTAAATAGCGATAACTTCCAGGCAACCTTAGGATGGAGAGGATTAGACTGTGTCTGGTCGAGGTATAACAATTTGTTGTTGGATGTACAATTTACATATCATATACACATACATATAACTACATAATAATCATTATATATAAAATATACATACACACATATATATACATACATATATACATATAAATAAATTAAATAATATCTATACTATGGATTATGTAATGTACATACTTTCCTTGTAAAATTATGAGAATATGACAAAAAAAAGAAAATAATTTTAAAATCTATCAATAATAAGTAGTTGAGAGAGATCGATATTCGAAAATAATTGTAATTTTAACATTAAACCTAATTAAGGCGTTACGAAAACAATAGAAATGATTTTTAGGAAGTGACTAAAAGTTTTTAATATAAAGTGCGAAACTACAAACGTCTCTCAGATTAATTAATGTATTATGTATGTAATTAATTCTGTATTGTAATTATACATTCCAAATTATGTAAATATTACTCAAATAAAAAAGAAATATATTTCATAATCTATTAATAATAAGTAGTGGAGAGAGTTCGATATTCGAAAATCATTGAAAGGTTGTATTACGTTATCAAAAACTATAGGTATGATTATTAGGATGTGACTGAAAGTGTTTTAATTCAAAGGCCATGGGGCGAGACTACCAATGTCTCTCAGATGAATTATTATTGAATGAACTACCTGCCAAGGTTTTCTGACGAGACTACAGCATGGGGTTTTCAAGAAGGGTACATTATGGTTTCTTAAGAATCAGCAACGTACGTAATACGGGTAATATGGTGTTTCAGGCGTCCATACGCTACGGTAACTATTTACCATCAGATGGGCCGTATACTTGTTTGCCACCATTATAATGTAAAAAAAATATTATTCTAGTTTTGCATAACCGAATAGCAAGTCAGAAATACGAATTAACACTCAATGACTTCAAAAAATGTAGCAAAAGCCAACCGTTTTATTTATATACTAGCTACTTGCCCCTTTTCACCCGGATGTACATGTATTATACATATAAATTGTATAATACATGTACATCCGGGCGAAGAATCACTCTATCTATTAAAAAAACAGCTTCAAAATGCGTTACGTTGTTTTAAAGATTTAAGCATACATAGGGACGGACAGACAGCGACTTTGTTTTATACTATGTAATGATTCATCATATTGTTTATTAACAATATGTAACTTTATATTTTATGTAAACGGATTTTATTGTTTCTAACTTCCTTTCGCCCTACATTACTTGCGGAAGCAGTTGTAGGAACATATCAAGACAAAAAGTGGACTAAATCGTTACGAAATCGAATAATTCATATTAACAATTATAATTGAAACATTAAAACAATCTTTTTGTAACATTAAACAGTCTTGTAAATTCATACAAACATCGCGGTCACGTGATCGCTTCAGTTCGATATATTAAATAAATATTTTCAGATATATTTCTGTAGGAAACTTATTCAGATTTATGACGAGGTAGTAGGTATGTGAGTTCTTTTTACAACTATATCAACAATAAAACCTAGGACCTGTCTTACTCGCGGCAAAACTGTTAACAATCAATATTACAATAAATATTAATTAAAATATATTTACTCTACAGAACAATAAATATAAGTATTCATAAACTAGAATCATCTCTGAATATTAATTAAAATATATTCACTCTACAGAACAATAAATATATCCATTCATAAACTAAAATTCATATCTACAATTTTCGTGTAACATACTGGCCTGAAAATGTAACATCCGCTGTGATAGGACCGTTCGAAATCCGCCTAATTCTGTAATACTCACGGATTCAAACTTGGAATGTAACATTACTGATTTTACTAACGTTAGCTGGTCAGTGCTTGCCGGCGAGTCGCGTCCATCGTCCCGCGCGCTTCCGACCACCCCATCGGTACCACTCATGCAACGCCGCAAAATTCACTTACACACAATGAAACACTAAACAAACCCTCACTATAACACTACAACATTTTAATAACACCACTGGATTGTATTATATAGAAACCGGTGTATTGCAACGATGTCGTGAAGGGTTTTACAATAATTCTATAAAATCAGGCGCGCTCTACGAGCGTACGCCATTTCTATTTGAGTGGCGTGTTCGCGCGCGCGCTAAACGTAGGTCGAACGGTGTTGTCATTTATTCAGACTCCCCCATTTTGTTGGTAATATATTGGTTTATTTCTCAAATGAAATACACATATATAATCCGTAGACACACTTTTAAGCATTTAGACTAATGTAGGCTGTCATATTACTTATTTATTTTTAACTTATAATTTTTTTTACGCACATGATGAGTTTGTGAGTTAGAGTTTTACAGTTTTACAGTAGCTTATACATCAAAATAACATACAAGCTATAAATTTGACGCGAGTGAAACCGCAGGGTCAGCTAGTATAACATATTACTTCACTATTGGCTAATGTCTGCGGCTTTGCATGCGTATTATAATTAAGTTGTATTATTACAAACTGTGTTTTTATATAATTTGAATGGCAAACAAACCTGTCAATTACCATCAGGTGAACTGTACCGCCAGATAATTGTACGAGGAATCGAACCCGCCAGCAAGGGACGTAAGGCGGTGTGCTAGACCAGTGGGGCCGTAAAGTTTATAATGAGGTTAATACGAGCCATCAATAATAATAATAATACTTCAGGACAAATAACACAGCGCCATCTAGCCCCAAGCTAAGCGGAGCTTCTGTTATGGGTACTAGACAACTAATACAAATACATATTTTTTTTCTAAATGCGTACATAATATACAAAGAAAACACCTAAACCGATACAAACAATCATACATCATAATCCTGAATCCAAATGTTTATGCCGTACGAGGTTCAAACCCGCGATAATCGGAAGTAAAGCGGTGCACTAAACCGCTAGACCATTTTGATCGTCAATGGTAATATGGATGCTGTTAATAGATATAACAAACGACTTTGTAACTACAGATTACAAGTATTATTAAACATTGACAATACTCTGCTTAGTGCCTTGATTACAATTCATTGCACGACAATGATTTCTTTGTCAGTTACGAGCACTTTACATATTGATTAGCGGCTGATTAGAATTATTTATCGTTTATCTATTAAGGTAGACATCCTGTCAGCTAGAGTATCTAGGAATGGTATGTGGTACGATAGCTAGATAGCATGATGTCTGTATAAATAAAAATCAATTGCGGAATGTACAGAGATAAACTTTATGTAAAGTAGTTTGCGTGGAAATCTATGTCTCATTTATGTCAACCACATTGACGGCCTCAGTGGGCTAGCATACTTCCTTACTTTCGATGGTTGCGGCTTCCATTCCTCGCACAGTGCAAACATTTGTATTCATGAGTATATTTGTTTATATTAGTGGTTTCTATTGTATAAATGCAACTCCTATAAATACTTAAATACAAATTTTTGTAAATACATACATAACATAGGGATGTTTTCTATGTTATGTATGTATTTACAAAAAGATGTATTTAAGTATTTATATGAATTGGCTAGTATCGGTAACACAAGTTTTGGCTTTGCTTGGGGATAGATGACGCTGTGTGGATTGCCCAGGATTATATTTATACTATTACCTGAGGCAAGAACTTTATAATCCTTTTACGAAAATTGCACCAGCGGAGGGATATGAAATTTCGAGTTAAACTTTATATAGTAAAGGAGTGCAGAATACTAAAATATATATTGTAATATTTATAGAAAAAGATTAAATTAATATAAAAATCGTTACACACAATTCCATGTGTGTGTAATATTGCGTGTGTGTATTCAACACACACGCATGTGCTCTTTTGCTCATAAAATTGAGAATAGATGAATACTTTTTGTCTTTAATATTATTTGTCTATAGTGTTACTGAATATACAGTGGGTTGCCAAATTAATAGGGACAGTCACGAAATATTCGTTTTTTGTAAAACATTGGTCTATAATTAATTAAAAACGTCACTTTAGGCTATAATTATATTTAAAAATATCAGACACAATATCTTATAATGAATTTAGACTATAATAATTTAATATTTGAACAACTAGAAAATATAAACAAGTATAATAAAAATGATGATGGGAAATTATTAGTGTTTTGTCACATTTCCTTTTGCTTCTATCAGTGCTTGAATCCGCCTCGACATACTTTCAATACACTGTTTAGCACTTTCTTTTGTTTTGGGATTGTGACATTTATTAATTTTTCAATTAGTTTTACTTTGGTAGTTATGATTTCCTTAGCAATTTCCGCCTTGGTAATTTCCCACAAGTTTTCTATGGGATTCATATCAGGAGAATTGCCAGGCCAAGGTAAAACTGGAATGTTGTGGTCTTCCAAAAATTTGGCTACACTCCTCGCTTTATGACATGGAGCTGAATCGTGCATAAACACGAATTCCTCCCCATTCGGGAACCATTCCTGAAGTTGCGGCAACAGGCGAGTTTCTAATACTTGCTTGTATTGGTCCTGTCTCATGGTTCCCTGGACGATATAGAGACGCCCAACTCCTTTTGCGCTGATGACAGACCATACCATTATTTTTACAGGGTGTTTAATTCGTTCCACTATGCAATCAGGATGAAATTTCTCGCTTGGGCGCCGCCTCACGAAGTTACTTTTGTTGGCCAGAATTTCAAAAGTTGACTCGTCTGAGAAACATACCTAAAAAAATATAGAAACTATTTATAATTTTTGTAAATATGATTTTATATAACACAAATAAAATTAACCATAGAACTGACCTTATTCCAGTCTTCAACAGTTTTCAGGCGGTGCTCACGAGCCCAAGCAAGCCTTTTCTTTTTCATCGCCTCTGTTAATCGGGGTTTCTTAACTGGACGATGGCCTGTCAGGCCTTCCTCTGCCAACCTTCGCTGTACAGTTCTTAATGAAACACGTATTCCAGATTCCTGTACTATCTGAGTTAAAAATCCAGCACTTTTCTTTCTGTTTTGCAAGCAGATATCTCGAATTTTCCTATCGGAACGTGTTGTTGTGATACGTTTTCTGCCACATTTGCCTTTTCTTTTGGGCGAAAGTGGCTGATTTTGATCTAAATTTATTTTTATTTTATTGACGGCAGATTTCGATATCCCGGCCAGTTGTGCTATCATCCTCTGAGAGTGATTTGTGTGTAGGAGAAGGGTTTTAACCTCGGATTTTTTTCTCGGAGTCAAATCTACCCCTCGACCCATAGCCAAAGCTGAAAATATAAAAATAAATTAAAATTGTTCTAAAATCCGCTCCAAAATACTTTAATTTTAATTATAGTAAAATATTACTTACTGCAGGTATTGATTATTTCACAAAACCACTAAAGAACTGTTTAAAAGAATAATTTACGTGTTTCACTTTTACAGGTGTGAACGACTGTGTGTCTCTCCTGTCATTAAAATATATTTCCAAAATAAACAAATCTCTCAGCACTTGAAATTCACTTTGAATTTGAGTTATAGAGACAAGGTGAACATAAAAACATATCAGCAAAAAACTTTTACCACTTAAAAACGTAGTCAAGACCACTTGAAGAACAAAAATTATAAAAAATGTGACTGTCCCTATTAATTTGGCAACCCACTGTATAACCATAATAAATCAATAAATCCATTTATTACGATATATGTATTAGTTGTTAGTGAAATACCATTCGCTCAATATACAAATATAAATTTAATATAAAAGTTGTTCAGCAGAAATCTTAATAAATTGTTTATTATCGAATTTCGACCGCTGGGCGACTACTACTTATTATAATTATTACTAGCTGTTCCCGCGACTTCATCCGTGTGGAATTTAACTTTATTTTCTAAATTAAAATTGGCGTAAGTTACTCCTTATTACATCAGGTACCTGCTAAAAAAAAGTCCCGTCATCAATCGGTCCTGCCATTTCAGAGATTGGCCAGAACAAACAGACAGACAGACAAAAATTGTAAAACATATTTTTTTGGTGTGTACATACATTTATATTCATATGCATGTAGTAAAAAACGGTTATTTCAATATTACAAACAGACACTCCAATTTTATTTATATGTATAGAAAAGCTGCCCTTATATTCATCGTCCGATATTGTAGAAGTGCCGCTAACGCAGTTAAGAGCACTATTTAATAAAAAATAGGGGATATGAATAAGACAGGTGTGTTAACCCCGCGGCGCATGCGTACTATCTCACCACTGCAATACGGCGTCGTCGACTTGCCTATTTTTACGTCTTTGTATTCATATGCCAATTAAATGTAGACAGTACGGACGGTGTTCACATATTTGCGTACATATATAGATAGATAGATACATAGATATATATTAAATAGTACAGCAGTGTAAAACGTGTCTGTCTGCGTGTAGGTTACGCCCGGTACGTCCATGCAAACTGGTCTATGGTTTTTTATTTTAGTCTATACTGAATAACCAGGAGTACCTCAATCCTTTGTATACATTATCCTTATTGCCTGATGGCATTCTTTACCAGTCAACCATCGCGTTAATCAGAGATAATAAGGCAGTGCAATTATTAAGGAATAAAAACAAAGATATAAAAAACTGAAAACAAAAATGTATAAAAATATATAAATAAAAAAATATCGATTCTAACATCAAATTCAAATTTAAATTCATGATTTTTGAATTCTTATTCATGTAGGACATTTTAGTCGCTTGTGAACGTCAAATTGTTTATATTATAAATTTTTCCCTACCGTCCAGTTCAGTATAGATCCAATTGAGAAGAACTGGAAATTAACTCAATTGAATGCCTTTTTTTTTAAACCAGTTTATTTACAATGTATATTTATATAGGTGTCTATGTCTATCATTAAATGAAAATCCCGTGTATGAACAACTATTGCCATGCATGCTCGTCATTAATATGGGATCGGTCATATACGAGAAATTTACATATTTTCCTTCAGCTGTTAATTGTCAAAATGATATAAACTCCCCATCTGTGAGACCAATTGCAGGACTCATAGATGGGAGTTTGGGCAAGTGTGGAGCACCCAACACCGCTTCGGAGGAGTTTTATTACACGAGAATCTAAATATATTTTCCTTTCAACTATTAGATGTCAAAATGATATTAACGCCCCCATCTGTGAGACCAATTGCAGGACTCACAGATGGGAGTTTGGGCAAGTGTGGAGCACCCAACACCGCTTCGGAGGAGTTTTATTACACGAGAATCTAAATATATTTTCCTTTCTACTATTAGCTGTCAAAATGATATTAACGCCCCCATCTGTAAGACCAATTGCAGGACTCACAGATGGGAGTTTGGGCAAGTGTGGAGCACCCAACACCGCTTCGGAGGAGTTTTATTACACGAGAATCTAAATATATTTTCCTTTCTACTATTAGCTGTCAAAATGATATTAACGCCCCCATCTGTAAGACCAATTGCACTCACAGATGGGAGTTTGCAAGTGTGGAGCACCCAACACCGCTCAGGAGTTTTATTACACGAGAATCTAAATATATTTTCCTTTCTACTATTAGCTGTCAAAATGATATTAACGCCCCCATCTGTAAGACCAATTGCAGGACTCACAGATGGGAGTTTGGGCAAGTGTGGAGCACCCAACACCGCTTCGGAGGAGTTTTATTACACGAGAATCTAAATATATTTTCCTTTCTACTATTAGCTGTCAAAATTACATTAACGCTCCATCTGGAGACTAAATACAGGACTCACAGATGGGGGTTTGGGCCCAACTGTGGAGCATCCAATACCACTTCGGAGGATTTTATTACACGTGAATCTAAATATATATAACTCAAAGGTGACTGACATAGTGATCTATCAACGCACAGCCTAAACCACTGGACGGATCGGGCTGAAATTTGGCATGCGGGTAGATGTTATGACGTAGGCATCCGCTAAGAAAGGATTTTGATTAATTCTACCCCCAAGGAGATAAAATAGGGGATGAAAGTTTATATGAAACTTTGTCAATTTTAAACCGATCGGACTGAGACTTTGCATGCATAAAGCTACTACCCGTAGGAATATCCTAAGAAAGGATTTTGATAAATTATACCCCTAAGGAGATAACTTAACGCGAGCGAATGCTAGTTTTATATATTACCCTTTCAACTATTAGCTGTCACAATGACATTAACACCCCATCTACAGAAGGGCCCAATCTCCCATCTATGGATACAATAATTTTTGAAACTGAGGTTTACTACTCCAAAGATGGGGCTATAGTGTCCAAGTCCAATATATAATTGGCTCCTCCGCAGATGAGAAGCTAAATAAAACTTCTGTGTATTTGTATTAATGATTATATTTATTAATGATAATTACGTTTACTTTATATAAATATACTAGCTGTTCCGCCAAACGCTGTTTTGTCTTAAAATAAAAATAAAAATTTAGGGGTGCACTACCCCTAACATTTAGGGGGATGAAAAATAGATGTTGGCCGATTCTCAGACCTACTCACTACGCTCAGAAATTTTCATGAGAATCAGTCAAGCCGTTTTGGAGGAGTATGGGAACGAAAACTGTGACACGAGAATTTTATATAAAGATAATAGAGTTTTTGGCGCTCTTTGGAGCTCAAAATTTAGTGTAGTGTATTTACACAACACAGAATTAAATTATTGTCAAAACACTTTTTTTAATCTTAAACGGAAAGTTTACCACCACTGACTTTTATGCCTTGATTAGAAAAAAAACTGCAACTCTATTCAACAGAATGCGTTGTAGCTCCAATAACATTCTGAACACATTTATGAAAAAAATTGATTTGCCTATGATACAATATTGTGTAAGTGTACTTGTTAGACAGAGGTCTAACAATTTGTAGCGACTGTAACTGTAATACTAGAGTTAAGAACTTTACTAACAATTAATTAAGAAAAAAAAATACTAACAAATTGGCCATTGATACCAAAATAAACATATTATTATTATTATTGTGTTATCTGTGTGTCACTACGGTGTCTGTGGAAATTGTATTTACGAGTAGTCGCTCTTTGATGTACAGGAACTGCAGTTTTATTCACTGGGACCTACAGGTTACTCGATTTCTACTTCAGGTACCGGTGTGGTAGTCTCCAGTACTTCCGTGGTAGTCTCCAGTCCTTCCGAGGTACAGTAGTCTATATCCGTAGTAATGTCCAGAACTTCCGTGGTAGTCTCTAGTACTTCTGTGGTAGTCTCCAATATTTCCGTGGTAGTCTCTAGTACTTCTGTGGTAGTCTCCAATACTTCCGTGGTAGTCTCCAGTACTTCCGTGGTAGTCTCCAGTACTTCCGTGGTAGTCTCTAGTACTTCTGTGGTAGTCTCCAATACTTCCGTGGTAGTCTCCAGTACTTCCGTGGTAGTCTCCAGTACTTCCGTGGTAGTCTCTAGTACTTCTGTGGTAGTTGTAAGTGGGTTGAACACCCAATCGAAGTTTATACCTGTCACTTCATAGTACCAATCGTGGTAGTGACCTGGTCGGATGAAACCTGATAAAAAAACAAAGTCATAGTCTGTGATTTCATAGAAAATTTTATACCTGACTAAATAAAATTAATTATTCCAGCATGTAAAACATCTCTTTATCAAAAAAGCTACTTTTTATGGCTATAATAGATTATAATTATTGTACCGTATGAGGAATCGGACTCACGACCATCGGAAGTAAGGCTACATGCTAATCCGCTAGACCACCGACTCTGTCAATGAGTATCAGAGAGATTGATATGAGTATTCATCATGCTTCTTCCTTATCCCATTTATTTGGCGTCGGCGTAATATGTTTTTCGCTTCCATTCATCTCTGTTCGCAGTCATCTCGTTATACTCCCATTCTTACAATATCATTCACACAGTCCATCCATCTCTTTTTCGGCCTTCCTCTGCCCATATAACCATTCACATGTAACAGAGACTGACATAAGTATTGACCATACATACATGAGAATATCTGTTCTTAAATGATTCTTACCAGCTGGAAATCCAGTGTGGCAACCAGTTGCCGACACGAACGATGTGACGCCCACCTCGCTCAGCTGACCGTCGTAGTCGATCACAGTCAGCGGACCACCACTGTCGCCCTGCATTAATATTTTTTTATATAACGTAAATGGCAAATAAATAACCTAATAGACAAAAATAAATATATTTATAAAAAATAAACTTAACGGCACATGTTTTTTTCGGACTACTCTAATGCTGTTGGCCGCAGCTGGCCTTTACAGCTTCACCGGGCGATAGGGAGCGAGTGCAGATGGTACTCCAAACAAGCGGAAGCACTTACGGAACGGCTCAACTCCCGCCTGACAGATACGATTTTAGTCACGTGGTAACCGTCGACTGAACAGAACAGTCGCGTAGAGCTATTAAATTAGGAACAATAGACTTGTAGCGACATCTAGTATAAAGATTTGAAGTTAAAGAGAGACGAATGGGGTGCGGGAGAAAAGGAAAGGTTTTTACTCACTCTATGTTCTTATCGCTCTCAGTAAAAAAAATACACCGAGTAAAAAGACAATATATAATTTGTGTTAAAATAAAAAACTCTCGCATATCTCGGAGGCAAGTGATAAGGGGAGAGGAGGAGACCATCTAGGGGGAAATATTACCCCAGAAATAAGACAACAACACGAATACTTTCTTGGATCTTTCCAAAATATTCTAATTTTGGAAAGATCATCATCTTTTCAGTCCGGAAGACGTCCACTGATGAACATAGGCCATCCCCAAAAAATCCGTTTGAAAAGGTGAGCAAGCTTATTTTAAATTTAATGTTTAAATAGAAATATGAATAGAACTCCCCATAAGTTCCATGATTTCGCCATTAGTATTAGTTAAAATATATAGGTCGCCTAAGAGCAAAGCTATGGTATACATCACCCGTGTATTATATTATAGTTGTGAGGGTATTTATCACCTGGCATGTAGACTGGCTGGTGACGTTGTAGGAGCTGGCACAAATGGTTGAATCTTGGATGATGCTGCTGCCTCCGAATGCAATCAAACAGTCGATGTTGGAGGTGCCCAACAAATATACCCAATTCAAATTCTCAGGCGCCAGTCCTAAAATAATAAAAATATTGGTCCATTGCAAGTCGGATTCTCTAAAAATCATATGATAATATCTTGTCTGGCCTAGTTCTAGGGGTCTAGTGCAGTACCCTGGGAACCAACATTGTTGATTCATAAAGAATTAGCCACCAAACGTTTCTAGGGGTACATAAGGGGGAGGACATTGATAGTAATAGGGACTTTTTTAATGAATGATAATGAACTGATACCCCGTAAGTTAGCGCTTTATGCTTACGGAGTATCAGTGAAGGTTGATAAGATGATCATGAAGTTAGATTAGATAGTAGATTAGCTTGCCCATTGTAATTAAATTACCAGGAAACAACAATGGTTTCCAAGAGTAACCGCGTGGAAGTTGATCTGACCCATATACCACACATTACTAGCAATGGTAACCCCATTAGTAGTTATTTTATAATATTAACAATTCCCTTTTTCCCTAGTAATGGGGATTAGAGGCCTTGTTTGAAGTCGTCCTCCAGGTGGCTCCCTCTGAAAATCTTCATCATTTATTGCTAGTGTATTCCCGACTACGGCCTAACTTCATTATCATTATTATCGCGCAAGTTTCTCGTTCTCGTTAAATCTGCGTTCCGAAAAATAGAAAATCTTTTATTCAAATTACTTTATTTAAGCACTTTTGAATAGTCATAACAATTTTTTAATTAAAAGTTTCATTAACGTCTGAATACAAACTACCAACAAGCACTAATTTATTACGGTGCAATATTAAATACACAACAAAATTGAATCAGTCGTAGTGTCCAGTCCTTACAAGCAGTCCTCGTTCACGAGTATGACGTATGAGCCAACCATCATTGCGCTCGAACATATTTTAGGAAGCCCATGACACGGTCCATGACGCCGCCACATGTCTGGAGTGAGCATGACTACTCATTCCACTCGACCACGAATGAGCGGTAAGAAAGAAAATGTGACTATTCAAAAGTGCTATAATAAGTTTATTTGAATAAATATTATTTCTATTTCTATTAAATAGGCTCACCTTGGGTCCAGGTCCGCCCCCAGCCGCTGGCAGTCAATCTGATGCCATGGTAATCACGATTCTTAGACTCAGAGTTCTGTAGCCTAATCGGTTGGACATAATCTGAGAAAGATAGACAACATGTCAACAAATCAAATTCAAAAATCATTTATTCATGTAGGACATTTTACCCGATTATGAACGTCAAACTTTTTACATTGTAAATTTATTTTTTACCCTACCATCCAGTTCGGTATATGGATCCAATTGAGAAGAACTGGCAAGAAAATCAATTAATTTTTTTTAAACCACTTTATTAGTAAATAAAGTGGCTTAAAAAAAAATTATTGAGAGAAATTATACATAGTAATGTATATTTATATAGGTGTGTATGTCTAGTATTAGAATTAATTAAATCAATGAAATAAATGAAATGAATGTCACGAATGAAACGAACGGAAAGCATGAAACGAATTATGAGTGAAATGAGTGAAACGAATAAATCTGAAGATATCAATGAAACGAATAAAATAATTTAGCGAATGAAACGATTGAAGTGACTGAAGTGACTGAAACGACTGAAGTGAATGATGTGACATTTGCGACTTTTGTGAATGAAGTGACTGAAGTGCCTGAAGTGACTGAAATGATTGAAATGACTGCAGTGACTGAAGTGACTGAAGTGACTGAAGTGACTGAAGTGAATAAAAGTGACTGAAGGGACTGAAGTGACTAAAGTGACTGAAGTGACAGAAGTGACTGAAGTGACTAAACTGACTGAAGTGACTGAAATGAATGAAGTGAATGAAATGAATGAAGTGAATGAAAAGAATGAGGTCAATAAAATGAATGTGACTGAACTGATTGAAGTGACTGAAGTGAATGAAGTGACTGTAGTGAATGAAGTGATGACTGTAGTGAACGAAATGAACGAATTTACGAAATGAACGAAATGAACAACAATGAATGAATGATGTGACATTTGCGTCTTTTATGAATGAAGTGAATGAAGTGACTGATGTTACTGAAGTGACTGAAATGACTGAAATGACTGCAGTGACTGAAGTGACTGAAGTGACTTTAGTGACTGAAGTGACTTAAATGACTGAAGTGACTGAAGTGACTGAAGTGACTAAAGTAACTGAAATGAATAAAATGAATGAAATGAATGTGACTGAACTGACTGAAGTGACTGAACTGACTTAAGTGAACGAAGTGACTGTATGAATGAAATGAATGAAATGAACGAAATGAACGAAATGAACGAAATGAACGAAATGAACGAAATGAACGAAATGAACGAAATGAACGAAATGAACGAAATGAACGAAATGAACGAAATGAACGAAATGAACGAAATGAACGAAATGAACGAAATGAACGAAATGAACGAAATGAACGAAATGAACGAAATGAACGAAATGAACGAAATGAACGAAATGAACGAAATGAACGAAATGAACGAAATGAACGAAATGAACGAAATGAACGAAATGAACGAAATGAACGAAATGAACGAAATGAACGAAATGAACGAAATGAACGAAATGAACGAAATGAACGAAATGAACGAAATGAACGAAATGAACGAAATGAACGAAATGAACGAAATGAACGAAATGAACGAAATGAACGAAATGAACGAAATGAACGAAATGAATGAAATGAAATGAAATGAATGAAATGAATGAAATGAATGAAATGAATGTAATGAATGAGACTGAACTGACTGACTTGACGGAACTGACTGACTTGACGGAAGTGAATGAAGTGAATGAAGGAAATGAAGTGACTGAAGTGACTTAAGGAAATGAAGTGACTGAAGTGACTGAAGTGAATTAAGTGACTGATGCAACTTTAGTGACTGAAGTAGCTGAAGTGAGAATGGTGTGAAAGAAGTGACTGACCCGACTGAAGTAACTGAAGTGATTGAAGTGAATGATATGAATGATGTGACGAACTGACGGAAGTGACTGAAGTGACTGAAGTGACTTAAATGACTGAAGTGACCGAAGTGACTGAAGTGACTGAAGTGACTGAATGAATGAAATGAATGAATTGAATAAAATGAATGTAACTGAACTGACTGACGTGAAAGAAGTCACTGAAGAAAATGAAGTGACTAAAGTGACAGAATGAAGTGAATGAACGATATGAACGAAATGATGAAGTGACTGAAGTGCAACTGAAGTGACTGAAGTAGAACTGAAGTGACTGAATGAGTGAAAAATTAATGATGACTAACCCGACTGAAGTAACTGAAGTGACTGAAGTGACTTAAATGACTGAAGTGACCGAAGTAACTGAAGTGACTTTAGTGACTGAAGTGACCGAAGTGACTGAAGTGAACGAAGTGACTGTATGAATGAAATGAACGAAATGAATGAAATGAACGAAATGAATGAAATGAACGAAATGAACGAAATGAACGAAATGAACGAAATGAACGAAATGAACGAAATGAACGAAATGAACGAAATGAACGAAATGAACGAAATGAAAGAAATGAACGAAATGAACGAAATGAATGAACGAAATGAATGAAATGAACGAAATGAACGAAATGAACGAAATGAACGAAATGAACGAAATGAACGAAATGAACGAAATGAACGAAATGAACGAAATGAAAGAAATGAACGAAATGAACGAAATGAACGAAATGAACGAAATGAACGAAATGAACGAAATGAACGAAATGAACGAAATGAACGAAATGAACGAAATGAACGAAATCAACGAAATCAACGAAATCAACGAAATCAACGAAATCAACGAAATCAACGAAATGAACGAAATCAACGAAATGAACGAAATGAACGAAATGAAAAAATGAATGTGACTGAAGTGACTGAAGTGACTGAAGTGACTGAAGTGACTGAAGTGACTTAAGTGACTGAACTGACGGAAGTGCCTGAAGTGAATGAAGTGAATGAAGTGACAGAAGTGACTGATGTGACTGAAATGAACGAAATTAATGAAATGAGTGAAACGAACGAAACAAAAAATTAATGAAATAAATGTATGAAAATATTTTTATTGTTACTAACTGTTATCAGTCAAATTGACATTAACGTAATTTTACGTTTTGATTTGATTTGATTTCATTTGACAAAACAACATACGGTTTAGTGACCATTAGTACTCATTTAAGCATAATGCCAGTTTATTTACCATTAATATGGCTTACCGTTGAAGATGAGTGCTCTCCCAAACTTGAGGAGGCCGATGTCATTTGGCTGCACCACCTGCTGCAAAGCTTCGTTGTACAGAGGATGGTTGTAATACTCTGTCGTTTCGAAGATGTAGAAAGGTTGTGTGAGATTGACTGCGCCCGCTCGGATCACAATAGTGGTGCGACTGCAATTGTAAATGATGGTCATAAGAAATCAGTAAGTAGGTGTCTTTAACAATAATCGTCCTCCATCCAACTCAACTCAAGGGGATCGAAATTACTACTAGATCCGAGGTTCAAATTAACGGTGACCTCAGTTTAAAGTCGTATCCGTCAGGCGGGAGTTGGCCTTCAGCGGCTCCATAAGTCCTTTGGCGGTTTTGGAGTGCTATCTGCACTCGCTCCCTATCGTCCGCTGTAAAGGCTAGGTGCGCCTAACAGCATTTGAGAGGGGGGAAGGGAATTGTTAATAATGTGGACTCATGACCCCATTACTAGCAATGTACCATGTCAGGTTGACCTCCATGCGGTTCCCCCTGGAAACCATCGTGATAAATTCCTGATGAATTTGTCACAATGGGCTAACTGACCTGACTTCATGCTCATCTTATCATCCTCCACTGATGCCCCACCAGCGTAAACCGTTAGCGCAGGTGGGAGCACCATTCCATTATCATCCATAAAAAAAACAGCATTAGAGTAGTCCGAAAAAAAAATTATGGCAGAGAAAGGATTGTTAGTAATGTAGATTTTTGGAAATGTTTGCCGTTTCTCGAACCTGCAACTATTGGAAGTGAGGCGGTGTGCTAAACCACAAAACCATCCGAGGCAGTCCACACAGACAGCAGTTTTATTTAAAAATCAGACAAAAGGTTGTATCTAACTATCCGTTGGGTTTAGGATGAATACTAATGATGGTTGATGATTTATTGAAACTCACGTTGCGGTGCAGTGAGCCGCAGTGATACCCCATTCCTGGTGAATAATGCTACCTCCACACGAGTTGACTGAACCGTTGGGGTTCACCATCCGAATAGACAGCTGGAACGGCAGCTGACCACGCTCTGCTTCCCATCCTGACACTATACGGGAGACATCTGCAGTGGAACACCATAATGTTTAGTAAGTTACACTTGCATTATGGAGAGACTAGTTGTGCCCGCGGCTTCATCCCCGTAGAATAGTAACCTTGACCTAATAAAGAAAGAATATTCAATAATCTTATTTAAAAAAGCTAAAGAAAAAAGTTTTTTCCTTGCAACTTAAAAAATGACGAATTTCCGTACAAACTTTCATCCCCTATTTATTTATACTTAATGTTAAAATATTTAAAATTTTTAATATCATATTTCTTTAGGTATATTTCATTAGTTATCATCAGTCTAAAAAGTAAATTTCAAACTTCTAGCTTCAATACGACGATACTTCGATACAACCTTTCATCTCTCTTCAACCCTTTACAACCTTTTTTGCGTTAGAAAGTTGCCTAAGTAAACCTTTCTCAGGGTCTACATGTGTAGCACATTTCATTTAAATCGGTAGAGAGTTTTGGCATGAAAGTGCGACAGACAGACAGACAGAGACAGGTTACTTTCGCATTTGAAATATTAGTAAGGATAGACCAAGGTAAATGCTGTAATAAGTCGCCTAAACTTCTGTCTCGACTACTTTAGCCGGCAAAGCTTTTTCTTTAAACTGTTTTAGTTGAAAGATGAGATATTAGACAGATAAAAATTACAAGCAAAGCGGTGTGCTAAACCTATAGTCCACCGAGGTCGTCTCATGGATAATGGATGGTGCACCCGCCTGCGCTAACGGTTTACACTGGCGGGCCACCAGTGGCGGATGATAAGGTGAGCATAAGGTCAGATCAGTTAGCCCATCGTGGCAATTTCACCATGAATTTATAACGACGGTTTCAGAGAGAATCGCGTGGGGGTCAACCTGACATGGTAAATAAGTAAAGTAAGCCATCCCTCTTCTCTCGCCTTCAAGAATAGCAGCCCATCGTGGCGAATGAGAATTTACCACTATGGCTTCTAGGAGAATCGCGTGGTGGTCGACCTGAGCAATGGGGTTATTAGTCCACATTACTATCCCCTTTCCCTCCTCCTCAGAATCCTCTTTTCCCCCTCCTCAGAATCTTCTCTCCCTCTCCTCAGAATCCTCTTTCCCCCTCCTCAGAATCCTCTTTCCCCCCTCCTCAAAATCCTCTTTCCCCCCCACCGAGGTCGTCATATTACCCTATCCTCAAATGATTTTGGATAAAGGCAGGTAGATCTTTATTACGATGAAAAATTTATCCGTTTACTAACCTCTCGTTGATTCAGGAAAAGTCAAAGAGGGATCGGCAGATACCTGAAATGAAATTTAATATTGGTAGTGAAACTTGTTTTTTTTATTAATTCTATTTATCTATATTACATAATATTAAAAATGTGAATGTATGTCTGTCCGTACATTATTTTTCAGACTACTCTAAAGATTTTATACAGTGAGTTTAATTTTGTTCTTTCTGATATTTCAGATTTAATATTGTTTGTATTTTTTATCCACATTAATGTTAAAAATGAATGAATGCTTTGTTTTCGGACTACTCTAATACTGTTGGCCGCAGCTGGCTTTTACAGCTTCACCGGACGATAGGGGGCGAGTGCAGATGGCACTCCAAACCCGCAGGACATATGGAGCGGCTGAAGGCCAACTGACGGATAAGACTTTAAGCATTATAGTGTTTGTAATGTTTTTTTATAGATTTAATATATTTTTTATTACAATTAAAAAATAAATTCAGCATTATACTCCTTCTCTATATAAACTAGAATTTCTGAAATAAAATAACTGAAGTACATAAAGAATTAGATATATCATTAAATAATAATAATAAAATAATATTTTATTATTATTATATTATTATTATTTTACATTAATGATAATCATATTTTTTGTAAAATAATAATAATAATAATTCTGCCCGCATTGTACGCCGGTTTCTCTCCCTGGGGCCCTGAACCCCGGCCGATCGTGCTTCTACCGGAGGTAAGTTACCATTTCCTGTCCTTAAGAGGGGAGATGAGAATTTCTTTAAGTTTAAGAAATAATAATATTGAAAAATGATGAAAAGAAAAGGGAATGATGCAGAAAGCGGTGCTCTTAGATTCTGCCCGCATTGTACGCCGGCCGACTGTGTTTCTGCCGGGGGTAAGTTGCCATCTCCTTTCCTTAAGAGGGGAGATGAGAATTAAATAAAAGAATAACAATAATAATACTATTCTTGGACAATTTACACAGCACCATCTAGTCTCAAGTTAAGCAGAGCTTGTGTTATGGGTACTAGACAATTGATAGAAATACATATATGTACATATTTTGTAAATACATACATAATATACATAGAAAGCACCCAGACCGATAGTAAAAGTCATACTCATGAATACAAATGTTTGTGCCGTGCGAGGAATAGAACCCGCGAGCATCGCAAGTAAAGCGGTGTGCTAAACCACTAGACCACCGAGGGCGTCAATTAAATAGTTTCAATGTAGATAAATATTGATAAAATATAACATATCTACTATTTATGTTAATGGATTCTACTGTATCAGTGTTTCCTAAAATAATTCTGTCACTGAAGTTTAAAAGGTAACGTTTTCAAGGACTCTAGATCCTACTAATAGAGCCCTAAAATTGAAGTGGGTTAAATAATTTCTGACATTATCATACACAAATAGATAAACTTACTAACAATTCTTTTAATGCGAAGTCGTTAAAATATTTGTCAGAATGTTTATCTGTGTTACCTAATGGTGGTTTGGTAAATTCTTCAAAAGGAACTAAGAAGAAACTCAACTCTTATTCTTTTCAAATGAGCTTCAATACATAGTATAAAACAATGTCGCTGTCGCTGTCTGTCCGTCTCTATGTATACTTAAATCTTTAAAACTACGCAACGGATTTTGAAGCGGTTTTTCTTAATAGAGTGATTCAAGAGGAAGGTTTATATATATAATACATGTACACACCCGTGCGAAGCCGGGGCGAGGAGCTAGTGTACATATAAAATAATAAAGATTCATTTTTAATAACATAGGACGAACGTACACGTCACGTCATAACACGGAAGAACATAGTAACTACCAGGTATATGCTATTACATTTTTGCAAAGAATATAGTGACCACCAGCATATGATATTCTATTTTTGTCAACAGAAAATAACTAATCTGCAGCCATAACCCGAACAGACCAGTCCAGAACAGACAAGCAGCACCCGTTCACGAATATGACGGAAAGACCATCACTGCACTCAGTCATATTAAAGTGGGCACATTGACCCGGCCGATTACTAGGTTAAGACGAACGATTGCTCTATAAAACTGCCGTTTCATTGGCGCAATGGTTACTACGCCCCGCCCTATTTGGAAATTCGCCAATCAGAACAGGGTTGCATAGCACAATCGTCCTAGCTACCTAATTTACCTAATAATGTGAGGCCAGATTTACAGACAAGATCTTCTCCTCGATCCCCCGACTAATTCAAACGGAGAACGAAATTACGACAGCCTGAGCCGAGGTTCGAACCCTTAGCGGTGCCCTCAGACTAAAGTCGTATCCGTCAGGTGGTAGTTGGGCTTCAGCTGTACCATAAGTCCTTCTGCGGAATTTGAGTGCCATCTGCACTTGTCAACTATCGTTCGGTGAAGCTGCAAAGGCCAGTTGTGGTCAACAGCATTGAGTTCAGAGAAAAAAGACAGACATGGTTCATTTATGATTTTATCACAGAACAGAGCTATTCTATGGATTTTATCATTTACAGGATAAGCGACATGACATAGAGACTGGAATAGTAACGCTATGTAATATTATATTATCTGTGGTAACGCATAATTGGTACCACATGATATTTCCATTCCATACCAAAAAACAGCAATATTCATAATATTAATACTAGATTTAAAGACAAACTTGCTGTCCCCAAGTTTTCTAAAGGATGAAAAAGTCAATAGGTCTTTTATGGGAATAGGTATAAAAATTTACAATAAGATACCAAAGGATATATTGGAATTACCCTTAAATAAATTTGAAACATCTCTTAAATCATATTTACTGAGCAACGCCTATTACTCGCTAAACGATTACTTGAATGACGAGCGTGCATGGCAATTGTTTTCATGTTCGGGATTTTCATTTAATGTTAGACATAGACACCTATATAAAAATAAAAATACCTATGCATTGTAAATAAACTAGATTTACAAAAATAAAAGTAATTCAATTGAGTTTCTTGCCAGTTCTTCTCAATTGGATCTATATACCGAACTGGACGGTAGGGAAAAAAAATATAATGTAAAAATTTGACGTTCATAAGCGGCTAAAATGTCCTACATGAATAAATGATTTTTGAATTTGAATTTGAATTTAATATCCTATAATAATCTGATTAATATTATAAACGCGAAAGTTAATGATCATGGATGGATGGACTTTTGTTACTCTTTCACACGAAAACTACTGAACGGAGTTTTGTGAAACCTTACAGTTATATAGCTTATACACCAGAATAACAGATGGGCTATAATTTAAAAAGATATTATATATACATTGGGCGAAATATAATTATAAGTGTCAAGTAAGTATGATGCAGACGAAGTTACGGAGGTCAGCTATAGTACAATTTTAAATTAAACCATGATGTGACCAGTTTTGGGGCAATATAAATATAAAAATAACTCTACAAACACGTGAAAAATAATGTTCAGAAAGAAATTTTGATTTAAGTTGACGTGAAAGGGATGAATGTTTGAAAAACGCCTATTTTCAAAATAACTAGTTAACGGTAAGAGATATGACAAAATATTTCGAATAAAAGTTGTAGAGAAAATAATTCTGCACAGAAAAGGTTCTTTACAAATTTTCATTATCTCTAGCTAAAACATATTTTTAAGTTTTCTGTCCTATAAAGCTTGAACAAATATATGAAATATATAAAAAATAGAAATAGAAATAATCTTTATTCAAATAAACTTAATATAAGTATTTTTGAATAGTCACATTTTTTTATTCTGCCGCTCATTCGGAATGCAGACTCATCACGAGAAGAAAGAGCAATCTTTTATTTATTTAATATTTTACGGCTCTGGATACAAGTCCTTTTTAGCCCAACAAGAAAGAGCAAGAAACTTGTGTGTTACTCTTTTAAATAAATAAATAAAGTAAATAAGAAAATAATTTACCACTCTTCCAATTAAGGTTATTAACACAACAACAGACAACTTCGCCATTATAATATGAACTAATTAATATCGAGGAAATTATGTCGATTTGGAGGTTAATCCGATAATATTTTTATCGAGATTAAATGATAATTTTATTATTATAAATAGTTTATTAATCCTGAATAACTAGAATTAGATATGAGTAAATGTGTCTCGAGTTTATACGTATAAAAAAAAATATTTACGTCGTATGTATGTAGATTCGGAGGGTAAGGGGACTTTTTTTAATTTATTAGTCAAAATTATATTTATTGTCTAATTATAAACTAACTAAGAGCCTATAGGGCCTATAGAACGTCTGAGCGCCAACTCTTTTCTAGGATACGACTTCAGTCTGAAGACACACAAGTTTTTTTTTTTGAGGGTTGATAATGGAATGTTGCACCCGCCTGCGCTGGGGTTCTCCCCTTAGCTCAGGCTAGTAGGCTCAGGTAGTAATTTTGATCCCCGTTCTGAGGGCACAGCAGGGCTAGGGGTTTTGGCTTTAGCTCGGGCCATTGTAATTTCGACCCGTGATTTGCGTGGGAGATCGGAGAAAGTTGGTACTATTATGAATAAATAAGTAACCCTGGACAATTAACACAGCGCCATCTAGTCGCACGGTAAGCAGAGCTTGTGTTATGGTACTGGGCAACTGATATGAATACTTACATAATATACATAGAAATCACCCAGACCGATACAAAAAATCATACTCATGATTACAAATACACTGTGCGAAGAATCGAACCCGCGACCTTCGGAAGTAAAACGGTGCGCTAAACCGCTAGACCACCGGGGCCGTCAAATTGACGAAACGTAAGAGGATTACGTTCTTGTGTATTTTTAAAGACCTGTGTGCTGTTGTTATGATTTCTGAGTCACTACTAACTGACTCTTAGATAGATAGATAGATAATAGTTTTTATTTGTATCTCAGTACACACATATAAGCTTGACTATAACATCACGTGACAAGTACCTATAATATAACAATTCAATAAGGGTAAACCTGCACGTGTGTTACAGCAATACAAAACTGGTACATAGCTCAGTGTGGAGAATCACTCAAGTAGCAAAATACTGATTTTCAGCCATGTCCTCGAGGGTACACTTATATTCATTGTGACAATTTGCTATTTAATTTTTAATTTATAGGGTAAAAAAGGAATCTGCGTAAACCTGAAAACCACATGGTGAGAAAGTGCCTTTCCATGGCTACAACAAAAAGAGGACGAGGCAGGCCACCAACTACCTGGTTGACAAATGTCCATAGGGACATGAAGGAGTTGGGCCTATCAAATGACGATGCTTACCAGCGAAATGTATGGCGCCCCAGGATTAGAAAAGCCGACCCCGAGTAACGGGAAGAGGCGAGGATGAAGAAGAAGAAGAAGGGTAAAAAAGGAATCTGATTAACAAAACTGGTTCGCAATCGTCCCCACGATAACGTGTAGCCGTTGTTAAGGTTTACATAGATTATAATCAGTGAAACAATAATGTTTGCATTCAACGCCAATAGATGGCGCTGTAACAAAATTGAAACGCGCTAATGTTTCGTTTTTTTTTGCGGTAGAAATGCACAGAGATGTAATATCTCGCCGCAAAGCCAATGGGTCGAGTCTGTCACATAGACGTTGATTACCAATGATTCTGGCTGCTCGGTTCTGAATGCGGTCAAATGGAAGTAGCTGGTATTGTGGTGCTCCCGCCCAAAGATGAGAACAGTATTCCATATGCGGCCGGATCTGCGCCTTGTATAATTACAAGCGATGGGCCGCCGTGAAATACCGTCTCACTCTACTGAGCACACCAAGCTTTTTTGAGGCTATTTTAGCCTTGTCCTCCAAATGACCGCAAAACTGAACGTCACTGGATATATCAACGCCAAGGACCTCGAGATTTGGCTTCCCATCAAGGAGAGTGTCTTGAAACAGAGGAGATACGATACATGGAATCTTTTTAGCGGTAACCTGTACTTGTATTTGAAACCGACCAATAAACCTTATATACACGAGTTTAGTGTTTTGGTTTGTAGTACCCTTAGGACCTTGTGGTTTTAACAGCCGTTCCACTTTAAATATCCGACACCTTGTTAATGTCCACTAGATGATGTTCTAAATTAGATGATTGTGCGGAGATCGAGGCTGATGAATCAGTTACGTCATTCGTGAAGAAATTGGGAACTTCCTGTGTTTTTTTAATCATCATTACATAGTATAAAACATAGTCGCCGTCGCTGTCTGTCCGTCCCTATGTATGCTTAAATCTTTAAAACTACGCAACGGATTTTGAAGCGGTTTTTTTAATATATAGAGTGATTCTAAAGGAGGGTTTGTATATAATACATGTACACCGGTGCGAAGCCGAGGCGAGTAGCTAGTATATGATAATGAAATGGTGCATCCGCCTGCGCTAACGGTTTACGCTGACGGTGCACCAGTGAAAGATGATATGAGCATGAGATCAGATCAGTTAGCTAATTCTTACAAATTCACCTGGAATTTATCACGATGGTTTCCAGGGGGAACCGCGTAGAGATCAACCTCACATGGTACATTGCTAGCAATGGGTTAGGAGTCCACATTACTAACAATCCCAGTTAGTAATGGGGTAGTAATTGCAAGTACGTTCAGAAATTAATAGATTTATATTTTATTAATATTATAAATGCGAAAACTTGTAATTATGGATATTTGTTGCTCTTTCACGCAAAAACTACTGAACGCATTTTGATGAAACTTTACAGTAATATAGCTTATGCATCAGAAGAACATGTAGGCTACATTTTTTATTGAAATTTAAGACAGGTGTAACCGCGGGCACAGCTAGTATATTTTGTTAAAATATTTATGTTTTCTGAGTCACTACTTGATCACACTTATAGTTATAGGCAGACTAACTGAGACCGCGACTTCGTCCGCGTGATATAGTGAGCTGGACAAAATAAAGAATAAAATATTAACTCATCTAACCCAAAAAAGCTTCATCGTTCTAGCTTCAAAAAATACGAATTTCCATACAAACTTTCATACACTATTTTATTTTAATACCATAATTTATTTATACTTAATTAAAATACAAATAAACCTAGTAAATAAATTTCAAAAATGACAATACTTCTATAAAAACTTGCATCTCCCCTTTTAACACAGGGGCGGACCGTGAATTTGTAGGGTCCTGAGCTAAATCTACTTACATAGTTGCCTATCTAATTACATTACTCAATTAAAAAAATACACCGACCAAAATCAAGCGACCAGAAAGGAACGGCCTTTCGATAGACGCGCAATTGCATGGGTTGATTGATCTCAGGGTTGCCAACTTTATGATAGGTTTTGTAACATTCTAGATATTTTTTTATATTCTAAATATCCGTTCAGTGGGGACTGGGAGCTCTTTGTATCCTCGAGCCCTGGGCTGCAGCCCAAAAAGCCCTTAGGTAGATCCGCCCCTGCGTATACAACCTTTTTTTCACATTGAAAAGTAGCCTATGTTATTTCTCAGGATCAGAGTATAGATTGTCCGAGTACAAAATTTCATTTGAATCGGTTCAATAGTTTTGACTAAAACCGAGATAGATAGACAGACAGAGTTAATTTCGCATCTATAATATAAGCACAGATAAGATAATCTTATTAATATTATAAACACGAAAGTTTGTGAGTGTGTATGGATGTTTGTTACTCTTTCACGCAAAAATTACTGAATTTATTTAAATGATACTTTACAATAATATAGCTTATCAGCTTATAGCATCAATATAACACAGAGTATAAATTTCATGCGTGTGAAATCGCAGGCAGAGGTAATCTATACATATAAATTAAATTGTAGTGTCTGTTTGTAATATTGAACTAACTGTTTTTTACTACATGCGTTCATACGCATATATAAATACGGTACATACACTAAAATAACATTTTTTTACAATTTTTGTCTATCTGTTTGTTCCGTCTAATCTCTGAAATGGTTGGACTGATTTTGACGGGATTTTTATTGGCAGGTAGATGATGTAATAGAAAGTAACTTAGGCTACTTTTATTTTAGAAAAATAAAGTTAAATTCCACGCGGACGAAGTCGCGGGAACACCTAGTATTACATAATATTAATAGTGATTTGCAACAATATAAATTGCTCGCAGATACTTCCATAGCCAAGATTCTGTAGTTATAACGCAGATAATATAATATTACATATTTATAGGATACATTGCAATAAAAACTGCCGTTTTTCTTACATATCTTTATTTATTATGCTTAATTTTGTGTTACAATAAAATAATATTATTAAAACAAATATATATAAATAAATATATAACCTTGGACAATTAAAACAGTCCCACGGTAATCAGAGCTTGTGTTATGGGTACACTGATATAAATATATTATATAAATGTTGTATATATATATGTATATGATGTTTGTAATATTGATATAATCATTTTTTACTACGTCCATATGAATATAAATACGGTACATACACCAAAATAACATTTTTTACTAATTTTAGCTGTCTCTCTGTCTGTTTGTTCCGGCTAATCTCTGAAATGGATGGGCCGATTGTAACGGATTTTTTTTTTGGCAGGTAGCTGATGTAATAAAGAGTAACTTAGGCAACTTTTAATTTAGAAAAACGACATTTATTTTAGAAAAATAAACGAAGTCGCGGGAACAGGTATATTATAAAAAACATGTATATATGTATGTAAATATAAAAATCACAGCGATCTTCTATATTACATTGTTAAATATCTAAGTTCTTTTTTGCTGATAACATTAATTTTTTCTAAGTCACTAAAGTCACTGCTGTTCACATCGTCAGAGTCATTACTTTCATCAATCGAGTCGCTGTCTGAACTAGAGCTGGACTCGTCCTCCTCGCTAATTGTTTCGGTCGTGGTCGATTCAGTGGTAGTGTCTTCAGTTGCAGGCCCTGGGGTCGTAGTTTCTACTATCTCCGGCTCTGGTGTAGAGGTCGTAGTTTCCACTAGCTCCCAGTCGAAGTTAATGCCAGTCACTTCATAATACCAGCTGTGGTAATGGCCGGGCCGTATAAAGCCTGCGAAGGATAAATGCGTAACGTTTTCAAATTCAAATTAACAAAATATTGATTCATGTAGGACATTTTAGCCGCTTATGAACGTCAAATTTTTAATATTATATTTTCTTCCCTACCGTCCAGTTCAGTATATAGATCAAATTTTGAAGAACTGGCAAGAAACTCAATTGAATTACTTTTTTTTTTAAGAAATCAGTTTATTTACAATTTATATTTATGTAGATGTCTATGTTTAACATTAAAAGAAAATCCCGTGCATGAACAACTATTGCCATGCGTGTTGATGAGTATTGGACATCTCAGTCATCCTTGTGATATTTTGTCACCTTTGTGACCCCCCCGTCCCCGTCCCACTCACACCATTCTTTTAATGTATGAATAAACTACCAAAGACCCTCTCTCTCGCCGCGCCAGAGGGATGGCGAGAAACAGTGCGCGGTATTTTTACCCACTAATAATCACACGGTGTACCTACGAGCGCTTAGGCTGCAGCCAGGGCTTTTGTCAATATGCATTCTACCTCGACAGCAACGGCGATGGCCCGCTTTGTAGGTGTTGTAGGGCAGGCCCCATCTCGTTGCGGTTAGGGCTACCTATTTTGTCCTACTCCATAGTGGAGGCGTGTGGGTATACGAGTACATTTCCGGGGCCATTTGATTGGGCGATGAAGTAGGCCACATTTTCCTTAATAAGGCCTCCCACCTAAATGGAAGGCCCGTACAGGGCCTTGGACGGCGAGGTAAAGGCGGCCAATACCTTCTCCCGGGCCCCTCACCCCCTCCTCACCCTTAGTCTAATGTAACATACTTTTTAATACAAAACAAATCTTATAATTATACAGATAGAGTATGAAATACACTTCGTCGTCTCCCTCTCTTCTCTTCACTTTACCATTTTATTTAGCCCTTTTAATTGCCAAAAGTTAGTTTTATAATCTTACCAGCTGGATGATCAGTGTGGCAACCGGCACTTGACACGAATGACGCCACCCCCACCTCGCTGAGCTGACCGTCATCGTCGACAACTGTCAGCGGACCGCCGCTGTCACCCTGAATCATTATTATCATTTATAACGATTCATGATATATATATATCGTACTAATAATGACGACCTCGGTGGTCCAGCGGTCTAGCACGCCGCTTTACGTCCGATGGTCGCGGGTTCGATTCCTCGCACGGCACAAACATTTGTATAAGTATTTCATAAGTATGATTGTTTGTATCGGTCTGGGTATTTCCTATGTATAATAAGTATGTATTCACGAAACAAAAAAAATATCTATGTATTTGTATCAGTTGTCTACCCATAACACAAGCTTTAGCTAGCTTAACTTGGGTCTAGATGGCGCTGTGTGAATTGTCCTGAGATTATTATTATTATTATTAATCAAATAATTATCATTTTTATGTACATATATATGTCACTAATATTATTAATGCGAAGGTTTGTTAGTATGGATTTATTGAACGGATTTTAATGAAACTTTACAGTAATATAACTTATACATCACAATATCACACATACGCTATAATTTAAAAAGATACTTTGTATATTGGGCGAAATATAATGACAAATCTCAGCTAGTTAACAATAATTAATGCAAATATTTCACCAGATATTTTTTTTTATATGTAGATACTTTTTGTGTATTTAATTGGAATGGCAAACAAGGCCTGCAGTCTTAATCAGTAGATATAAACAGCAGTAGGTATAAACAATATATTATTATTTCAGAGGACTCAGATGTCTTTTTTTATAATACGATGGTGGCAAACAAGCATACACTAAATGGTTACAATAACCTCCGGACGCCTAAGACACTATGGGTATTATGTGCATGTTGCCGACTCATAAAAAACCTTATTATACTCTTCTTTGTAAAACCCCATGCTGTAGTCTCGTGAGAAAACTTCGACAGGTAGTTCATTCCACAATCTAAGTGTACGCGGTGGAAGCTCCTCTGAAACCGCACTGTCTGAATGCACTTAGATTCTAGCGTGTAGGGATGAATTCTCTGTCTATTGACGAGCGGGCGGTGCGATGGTAAAAGATGACATATCCCTTATTCTATAATTTCACTTGCAATTTGCAATGTACAATTGAAATACAGCTTACAAAGCAAGCTGTTTGATGGCAGAAAAAGAAGAGACTGAGTATCAATGCAGATGTTTTTTTAAATTCAAATTCAAATTCAAATTCAAATTCAAAAATCATTTATTCATGTACAGGACATTTTAGCCGCTTATGAACGTCAAATTTTTACATTATAATTTTATTTTTTTTCCCTACCGTCCAGTTCGGTATATAGATCCAATTGAGAAGAACTGGCAAGAAACTCAATTGAATTACTTTTTTTTTAAAGCCAGTTTATTTACAATGTATATTTATATAGGTGTCTATGTCTAACATTAAATGAAAATTCAGTGCATGAACAACTATTGCCATGCACACTCGTCATTCAAGTAATCGTTTAGTGAGTAATAGGCTTTGCTCAGTAAATATGATTTAACAGATGTTTTGAATTTATTTAAGGGTAATTCCAACATATCCTTTGGTATCTTATTGTAAATTTTTATACCTATTCCCATAAAAGACCTATTAACTTTTTCTAAACGATACTTGGGGACAGCAAGTTTGTCTTTAAATCTTGTATTAATATTATGAATATTGCTGTTTTTTGGAAATAAGTCAAGATTTTTATGAACATATAGGATATTTGAATATATAAATTGAGAAGCAACGGTGAGAATATTTGCCTCTTTGAATTTCTCTCTTAATGAGTCACGACTCTTCATACAGTAGATCGCTCGAACGGCACGTTTTTGTAATATGAATATATTTTTAATATCTGCCGCTTTTCCCCATAGTAATATTCCATAAGAGAGTAAACTATGAAAATAACTAAAATAGACTAATCTAGCAGTATCAGTATCAGTGTACTGTCTAACCTTACGCACGGCAAAAGCTGCTGAACTTAGTTTCGCTGCAAGGCTTTGAATTTGTGGACCCCATTGTGTTTTATTATCTAGTGTGATTCCTAGAAAGACAGTAGATTCTATAAATTCCAGAGATTCGTCATTTAATTTAATATTGCAATTAGTATTAAAACTTTTAGACAGAGAGAAATTAACACATTTTGTTTTTTTAGCGTTTAACATAAGATTGTTAGTTGTAAACCAGTGCAGGAGACGCCGCAAAGCACTATTTACATCGTCATAATTATTAGTCATTCTATTAACTTTAAAAATCAATGAAGTATCGTCTGCAAATAATACTATGCCGCATCTATCCTGCATGGCATATGGGAGATCATTAATGTAAACTAGGAATAAAAAAGGACCGAGAATAGATCCTTGAGGTACACCCATTTGCACAAGTGACCCGTCAGACGTAGCGTTGCTAACCTTCACTTTCTGTATTCTATCAGAAAGATAAGATTTTATTAAATTTAAAGCATGGTCTTTGACGCCATAAAAAGCAAGTTTTTTTAGCAGTGTATTATGATCAACGCAATCAAAAGCCTTAGAAAGGTCACAAAAAACACCTATCGCATCCATTTTAGTTTCCCATGCAGCAAATACGTGTCTAAGCAACTCTGCACCTGCGTCTGTAGTTGAACGACCTTTGGAAAAACCGAATTGACTATTGTGGATTAAATTATTTAAATTGAAATAACTGACAAGCTGCATAAGGATTATTTTTTCAAAAATTTTACTGAGTGCTGGGAGTATAGATATAGGTCTATAATTTATTGGGTCACTCCTATCTCCAGATTTAAAAAGCGGTATGATTTTACTAATTTTCATTATGTTAGGAAATTTACCTTCATCTATACATTTATTGAAAATAAAAGCAAGAGAGGGCGCAATAATTTCCATTATACTATCTAGTATTTTAACAGATATACCCCATAGATCCTCTGTTTTTTTATTATTAAGCTGTTTGAATATTTTCATTATTTCTACTGATGATGTATGTCTAAAGTTAAATACAGCTGATGACTTGCTAACATTGTCTGTTAGTAAAGTTTCAGCAGCAGACGGGGAAGATTTTAGAGCCTGTGTCGTAATTAATGGAATATTAGTGAAATAAGATTCGAATGTATCCGCGACCATTCGAATGTAGCGGCGAATTTAGAGCCAATAATAAAGTTTAAGTGAGACAAATATGTGACAAGCAGACCTGTAGTGGTAAATAGATGAAGGTAATATGGATACACACCTGACAGACGGACTGAGAGCTGACATTGTATGCGCTTGCGCAGATTGTAGACTCCACGATGATGCTGCTCCCCCCGAATGCAATCAGACAATGCAAGTTGGATGTACCACTCAGGAATACCCAGTTCAAATTCTCCGGGGCAGCACCTGTTCACAACATCATTGAATGGCAGTGAAATTATTGGCCTGCAGAAGGCCAACGCGTTAGATTTCATCCTATGTGGTTGGGGGGTGGCCATAAATTACGTGAGGTGTTTTTTGAATTTTCTGTATATCTCTCGTCTAGTTAGAAATAGAAATAGAAATAATCTTTATTCAAATAAACTTAATATAAGCATTTTTGAATAGTCAAGTTTTTTTTATTCTACCGCTCATTCGGAATGCAGACAGAAGAAGAATGAGCAAGAAACTTGTATGTGTATTGCTCTTTTAAATAAATATTGATTTACTTATATTTAGATTTAGAAAACTTAAAGACTGTACAAATAGAAGCTTACGCAATAAAAATAAGCTAATTTTACCTAAATGCCGCCTGCACAAAGTCAGTAATTCATTCTATGGTAATTGCGTAAGATTTTATAATAAACTGCCAGAATCTGCACTAAATCTGACAGAGAGGCAATTCAAATCTTATATTAAACAATTTTTATGTAAGAAAGCCTATTACAGGATAGACGAATTCATAGAAGACAACATATCAAGTAAATAATTAGTTTATTAGCATACAACGTTATGATTTGTTTATCTCATTGCTTTCTTGATTCAATTATTTTAGAAATATGAAAGCGTAGCGGGTTTTGTATTAATTGCCGCATGCATTCTTATGTGAAATGTGAATACTATAAACATCAGATGGCAATTGTGAGTAGCTATGACGTGGTCTGGTGTTTTGAGTAGTCATGCTCACTAAAATGTCCAGACTTGTGGCGGCGTGGTGGGCCGGGTCATTGGGCTCCCTAAAATATGGTCGAGCGCAGTGATGGCTGGCTCATCCGTCATACTCGTGAACGGGTGCTGCTTGTAGGGACTGGTCTGCTCTAATCACTATGACTGATTTCCTCTTATTAATTGTTTAACCAGTTGGTTATGTATTCAATATTTTTTTCTTTTTGAGTATTTAATTGAATTAGTGCTAATCGGTGGTTTGTATTCACACACTTAAACTTAAATTGTAAGTAAGAATAAATTATTTAAAAGAGCAACACACAAGTTTCTTGCTTGTTCTTCTTGTGATGAGACAGCATTCCGAATGAGCGGTAGATTAAAAAAAAAAATGTTATGACTATTCAAAAGTGCTTCAATGTAAGTTTATTTGAATAAATGATTTTCTATTCTATTCTATTCTTTTAATTAACAACAGAGATTAGGCATGCGACAATCAACATAGAAACCGCTACGCACTTAATCTCTGTTCAACCAGATAACATTGTCAGCTCTACCACTCATGCATAAACGAAATATCTCCTTTGGAAAATTTATACTCTTTCCTGAGGAGATAAAAACCATCGCTCCTAAGAATATCGTTCAATTCTTGTCCCTGGCGGGTCTAGGTAGTGAACTTTGAAAAGGGCGAGCACAATAGATCTATGTAGGTCGCAGTGCTACAGGTCCATCCACCTGACAATAGCGCAAACATCCCAATAAAAAAAAAGCAACGCATTAGAAACCTCTAATGCGTTGCTTTTTTTTTGCTTCCACAGGCGTGTAAAATTAATAATTACTCAGGGGAATTCACAAAACGCCGTTGTTCCATGCTAAGCAGAGCTTATGTTATGGGCACTAGAAAACTGATACAAATACTTAAATGATGAAGCTGTCCGAATACATCCCAGCTTATTATTATTACAAGATTGTCAATTGCAATCTTCTGTATATGAAAATTAATTTCATATCATTTCAAAGACAAGGATGTAACAATATTTCTGACCTCCAGTCCAGGTACGACCCCAACCGCTGGCAGTGAGCCTGGTGCCGCTGTAATCCCGATTCTGCGAAGCGGAGTTCTGGAGACGGATCGGCTGCACATAATCTGTGGAATAACTTACTATTAGCAGAACAGTCTAAAGAATTTGGAGGTGAAGCTCATAGAGCTTCAAGAGGAATTCCTGCAAGAGGTTTCTACCCAGAATGGTTTGGTACAAAGGTGGTTGCCTACACATTTGTGTCATTTATTTCAACATCAATCATATTCTATTCTTAATAACGCTGTATAATCTTATCTCTCTCAATAAATGTTCTTTCTGGTGTCCTTTCTTTACTACTAAAGGAGGTAACTGCTTCTTAATTGGACATTGCATAATTGCTGGGTATATATATTTCTATATTATTTATAGTATATGTTATTATTATGTATATGTTTACAATATGTGTATATTATATATTACTATTATTATTTATGTTTCTTTCATTCCATCATGCGCCATTCATCACCTTCTGTCTTTTCTCCTCTACCTAAATGTTGTCTGGAAGAAATTGCTTAAGCGATAAGACCACCTTTTGTGTCTACATCATCAAATATTCTGTTTTCTTTTGTATTTTTTAAGGTACAACAAAGAGTATTAAAAAATAAATTAAGTTTTCGCTAAGTATCTTAACTAGCGGCGTAGAGGGAGCCTGAGTCTGATCCTTCCGCCCCATCCACCGCGGAATTAGAGTTCGGCCTAAAGACTGGCGATTACCGAACTCCGCCCCATCTCTATCCCCCATTGGGGCCAAGGTGCTCCCCTTGAGGGAGGCATCGCCCCAAGTTTTGGTGCACGCGAACGCTTCTACAATTGAATAGGGCGAAATAGGTCGCCCTAACAATGATATGGGGTTTGCCCTACAACATCTACAGGTACGGCTAACGCCGCTGAAGCTGCGGTAGTTATTCAAACGCTCGAAGACCTCGTGACTCCGGCAATAGCGCTCGTAGTTACAGTTTCAGAAATAATCAAGAACAAAAAGAAAGACAGATCATTTTGTTTTTAATTAATTTTTTGCTCAAGCTTATTGTTATGTGCATTTAGTGAAAAGCTGTTAATTTAAAATTACCGGCAGATACTACAGTTTTCTTTGATATCTGTTTAATTATTTATTATTTATTGTTATTTTATGACATTTTCTAAATTATAATATTTGCACTTTGTCCCACTCAACACTTTCTAAGCCACCCAGTACTGTTGTTGACTGGATGAGATAAGGATGTTTATTATTCTTTCACGCAAAAACTACTGAACTGGTTTTGATGAAACTTTACAGTAATATAGCTTATGCATCAGAATATTGAAGGCTATATTTTTTATTGAAATTTATAGCGGGCGGGACCGCGGGCACAGCTAGGACATAAATAAAAGATTAATACCATTTTAAATGGTCTAGATATAGTAATAATAATTTAAATAATTACCATTAAAAATTAGTGCCCTGCCAAACTTAATGACTCCAATATCATTGGGCTGGACGACGGACAATGATTCAACGTACGAGGGATGATTGTAGTACTCCGTTGTCTCGAAGATGTAGACGGGCTGCGTCAGGTTGACGGTGCCAGCTCGGACCACTATACTTACACGCCTGCAAAAATTAAAATGGAATCGAACCTGCGACCATCGGTTGCATGGCGGTCTGCTAAACTACTAGACGACTTATAAGTTTTTCTTTTAATGGATGATAAGAGAATGGTTTTGCCTGCGCTAACGGTTTACGCTGGCGGAGCACTAGTGGAGGATGATAAAATGAGCATGAGATGAGATCAGGTAGCCCATTATAACAAATTCACCAGGAATTTATCACGATGATTTCCAGGGGGAACCGCGTGTAGATTAACCTGACATGTTTTTTTATGGATGATAATGGTATGATGCACCCGCCTGCGCTAACGGTTTAACCTGGCGGGGCACCAGTGGACGATGATAAGATGAGCATGAGGTCAGGTCAGTTAGCCCAACCTGACAGGGTACATTGCTAGAACCTGGTAGAACATTGCTAGTAATGGATGAGATACTAACATTCCCTTCCCCCGCTACCCGGGGGTTATTGCCCCCGGATCTGATACTGGGACAAAAGGTCCTCGAGGTCTCAACCTTCACCTTCCTAGAGGGTTGGTACCTCTAAAGTTAATGGCAAAAGGGTTCGATCCCAAGGCCCCAACCTTTACCGTCCCAGGGGATGCGGATGACCAGAATCTGTTAAAGTAATGGGGTGGTACTTACAAAGCGGTGCAGTGGGCGGCAGTAAGGCCCCATTCACGATGAATGATGCTCCCACCACAAGCTGATACTCCACCATTAGAGTTTACATTTCTTATCGACAGCTGGAAAGGGAGCTGACCAGGTTCCGCCTCCCATCCTGACACTATACGGGAATCTCCTGTAATACAATATTTACTTAATAACAAACAATGGCTGTAATCTATATATATAAATAAAATTGGAGTGTCTGTTTGTAATATTGAAATAACCGTTTTTACTGCATATGAATATAAATAGGATATATACACCAAAATAACATTTTTTTAAATTTTTGTCTGTCTGTCTGTTTATTCCGGCTAATCTCTGAAATGGCTGGACCGATTTTGATGGAACTTTTTTTGGCAGGTAGCTGATGTAATAAGGAGTAACTTAGGCTACTTTTATTTTAGAAAAATAAAGTTTATTTCCACGCGGACGAAGACGCGGGAATAGATAGTTCTAAATACAAAGCGCATAACAAAAAACCTTTTAAGTAGATCAGCGGGCGTATTATGAACTCTTATTCTAAGTCAGTTTATGGCTTAAACTGAACTGCCAGGATACTGTCTGGATTTTAAAGAGTTCATATTGCGCCCCCAGGCCGATACTCATAGATTTAATTAACACTATATAAACTTACAGCTAATTGTCAACACGTTTATACATAACCTCAGCTCCAACCTTCGAAATTTCGATCCATGCTCGAATTAAACGGCAGATCGATCGGAAAGGTGATTTTCTTTCTGACGACCGAATGATTTTTTTGCAAGCTCTCACTTTTTTTTAATTTTATATAAAGTCAAAACTTCACGGATATCAAATTACAGATTTGCTACTTTTTTGTTTAATTTACATTTCATCACGACTACAGAATACACTTACTGTACTAATAAACTCTCCCTCTGATAGGTAAATAGATTCTAATGAAGTTAGAAATTTTCCAGTTTGACAAATACACAATGAAATTCTCAACTTCATTATACGATAAGAAGACATTATATTATAATACTTATCACGTAATAATAACAGATTTATCATTATAATAATAGCTACATATCTATTACGAAGATAAGTCTAGCCATCTTTATCGTTTTAAATCCTTGAAAGACGGAAAGGAATAATTTCGGGTACCTACTCGGCTGAGACAGACTACTGTAATTATAACAATAACAGACTAATTGCTATTCGCGGCTTCGTCTGTTATTTCTGAGACAAAGGATCGCCTAAGTTCATTTTCGGAATATTTATGTAAGATACATTCAGTAATTTATTCCCTTCCGATCGATTCTCCATCCAATTCAAACCTCAGGCGGAATTTGTCCTTCAGCCGCTCCATAAGACCTTTCGCGGGTTTTGAGTGCCATCTGCTCTCGCCTCGGCTATCGTCATCAACATTAGAGTAGTCAAAAAAAAAATACTTTAATAGTAAAAATCTAACAGACAATCATACATTCGATCTTATGTAGAGCTTGGAGTAGTACCTACCTATAGACTAATTTTATACCTCCTGTTTGGAAAATGATTGATTCCTCGAAACTTTCATACCCTATTTCTATATATTTGGGGATAGTTAGTAGTGTAATTTTGAAATAAAAATAAATAGGTTAAAAACAATCTAACTTCACTAAGCTTGATAACACACCATGTTTCAAATTTTTGACCGGGAGGAAGTAATTGGCGAACGAACCTCTGGCTCGAGGACTTAGAAATTCGACGCTGTATCACAGATACTTACTTCTCGCTAATTCAGGAAAAGTAACTGATGAATCGGCTATTACCTGAAACGATGCAAAAATATTTATAGTAATCAATTTATACCAAACTCCCATAGGTTTCAGTTGTAACTCATAAAAATTACAATATCTCTCTTTGTATTCGCTTATTCTTGAAGATCACGACTCCGAGCAGATCTTCTCACTGTCTATGAATATAATGTTATATATTACCAATATTATAAGAGCGAAAGTTTGTGAGTATGGATGGTTGGATGGATGTTTGTTTTCACGCTAAAACTACTGAACTGATTTTAATGAAACTTTACAGTTAGCTTATACATCAGAAAAACACATTGGCTATAATTTAAAAAGATATTATGTAAATTGGGCGAAATATAATTTCGTGCCTAGTTCAATTCCCAGGCTCATACAATCACAAATTGTTTATAAAGATTATTTAAGACCTGTATATATTTGTGGCTTAATAAAAAAAAATATAATGATAAATGTCAAGTGCGTATAATGCAGACGAAGTTGCGCGTGTCAGTTAGTATTATATAATTACTCGCCCCGGCTTCGCACGGGTGTATACGTATTATACATGTAAACCTGCCTCTTGAATCACTATCTATTAAAAAAACCGCATCAAAATCCGTTGCGTAGTTTTAAGATTTAAGCATACATAGGGACGGACAGACAGCGACAGCGACTTTGTTTTATACTATGTAGAGACTACCTAAACCGCCTTTGAATATCTCTGCACTCCCTGGAGTTGGCTGGTAGAGAATACTAATAGCATTAAGCCGGCCATTTGTAGAATTCAATAAAGTTTAAATATATTTAAAAAAAGAGTTATTTTTTTCTATTTTTCTTTTGTACAGCGGATGGCAAATGAACTTGTGACTCACCAATGGTAAGTGTTGTGGACTTCATAGTTTATTGCTGGCAACATAAAAGCCACTTTTTTACTTTAAAAAGTATGTAAATAAATTCAATTTGTTAATTTTGTGATATAAGAAAAATATACGATTTTATTTTAATCTTTTTTGCATCGATTTATTTCACATACCTAGTTATAGAGTAGATGTAATAGCTTTCTGCACATAACGAACCGACATACAAACATAATACATACAAAATTATCCACCACATTAATTAGTGACTACGGACGGTGAATCATTTCAAAATTAACACATTATACAACCTCTAATAGGTACCTATAATAAAGAGTAGGTGTAAATATACCTTTAATAACATTAAATAAAGATGTCTCTAAGAGAATATATCTTTACTTTATATAAATATTTAAGGGAGATTAAGAATTAAACTCCTTGTCAATTCTTCTTAGCTGGAAATCACTTCGAACTGACTGAAGATTTGACATATCATTAGAATTTGTAATAAACACTCCATAAGACCACCGTGACTCAGTAATAACGGGAAAAGGTCGTAATAAATAGAACAGAAATAGAACAGATTGTCGCTGACGTGTATTTATAAAAGAGATGGATGGACTGTGTGAAAGATGATATGGTAAGAAAGGAAGTAAATAACGCGATGACTGCGAACAGGGATGAATGGAAGCGAAAAACATGTTACGCCGACCCCAAATAAATGGGATAAGGAAGAAGCAGATGATGATGGCGCAGACGTGTATTTGGAGGGTCGAAAAATGTGCGATGATGCCTGGCTTCAAAAACTTGCTGACCAGAGAAGAAAGCGCCATCGAGGCGGTTCAGTACCGACTGCTAGCAATATTTTCTCTTATCGAGCCTGTGGTAGTATGTGGCTCTCGTATCGGTTTATGTAGCCACCAAAAGAGCTGTTCACGAAATATCACGCCATAAATAATTTATAACAGACGCCTAGGTCATTAGTTAGTTAAGTATGTAATAGACCTACATGAATAAAGATAGAAAAAGAATTAAGAAAAAATATATATTCTACGATGGTGATAAACAAGCACAAGCCGTAATGGTAAACAGTTACCGTAGCTTATGGACGACTGACACTAATAAACTGTAGTAAATTAATTTCTTAGTTTTTCTGAACTCTCAAAATTTCCGTTAGCCATTTAATACTTTGAAAGTTGACTTACCGACGCTTGCGTAACAGCAATTATTGCAAAAAAAACCCACACTGCCATTGCGATTGTAATACAGACTAATTATTAAATATCTAGTACATATGCTAATGCCAGTGATTACACGATAAATAATGTCGATTAATTGATTTCTATATTAGTTACTTAATCATAAATAAGTACCTACCTACTTACTTTATCTGCCATCTTGTCTGAATAGTATTATCTTGGAGAAATCAAGGATTCATTCAATACGTCGATAATAACCCGCAAACGTAGTTTTGTCTTATAAATTAAATCGCTATTAAAAAATTTGGATTGATGGTTGTTATGAACTATTTTTTATACCTTTTTTTTTATCTAACTTTTTTATAATATTATTTTATTTATTTATTTTAATAACTTTAATACACGTCATACATAAGTGAAGAGTACATATGGCGGACTTAACACCTAATGGCATTTTCTACCAGGTAACCATGAGTTGTGCAGAGATAAGTTGTTGGCGGTGCAAACAATATTATATTGTTTTTATATGACATAAGTCATAATACACGACTATACCTACCTACCTCGTCGTCTTGGTCTCCATCCTTCACAATGTAGTGTGAAGGATGGAGATCAAGATGACGAGCAAAAAGTAAAACGGCACCGTTGTAGTTGTAGAATATTTTTTGTATATTAAAATTGACTTATGTCATATAAAAACAATATAATATAATAAAAAAACATAGATAATAAAAAAGGTAATAAAATAGTTTTTTTTAGTTAATTTTCAATGCCACATTACAAAAAAATATTTTATATTAATATTATTATTATAATATATATTATATATTAATATTATTATTATATAATATATATTATATATTAGATAGAGAGCCAATTCTCTGTATATATGTACGTATAATCTGTAAGATCACATCGTATTTCGCACTCCGCGCAAAGAATTCACTGTAAGATCACATCGTGTTTCGCACTCCGCGCAAAGAATGAATTTTACACGCATATACTGAGAATTGGCTCTCTGCACTTTGGATTTGCACTCTTTGTAACGATACTTCTGCGAAACGGACCCATCGAGACCAAAATTTAATCGAAGGAAGACCTTCGGATTTCCAGTCTTTTCTTCGCAGTAGATATATGTATATTTAAATTCAAGTCATTCAAGTAACGAGGATACTGCTGCTTCTCTGGTTAATTTTTTATCACTCAGACATTATATTGACACAAAGAATGTTTGGAGTCAATAATAATAATAATTCATTATATTTTTTGAAAGATTATATACTTACGTCTTACACACAAATATTTGTCACAAAATGGCGGCCTATGTTTTTTTTAGTAAATGATAATGGATGCACCCGCCTGCGCTAACGATTTACGCTGGCGAAGCACCAGTGAAGGATGATAAGATGAATGAGGTCAGGTCAGTTAGCCCATTGTGACAAATTCACAGGGAATTTATTCCTATGTTTTCCAAGGGGACCCACGTGGAGGTCAACCTGACAACATTGCTAGCAATAGATCTTCAGTCCACATTCCTGATAATCCCCTTTCCCCGTTGGCGGCCTATGTCTTTTTAGTGGATGATAATGGAATGATGCACCCGCCTGCGCTAACGGTTTACGCTAGCGGGGCAATAGTGGAGGATGATATGATGAACATGAAGTCAAGTCAGTTAGCCCATTGTGATAAATTCACTGGGAATTTATCACGATGGTTTCCAGGGGGAACCGCGTGGAGGTCAACCTGACATGGTACATTGTTAGCAATGGGATCATCAGTCCACATTACTAACAATCCCCCCTGGCGGCCTATGTCTGTACATCGGACAAAAAGAGCATTATACGAGCAGCCCGCGAACGGAGCGGACGAGTTGTAAGCAAGTTTATAACATTTGGGATAGGGATTTCCTAAATGTTAGATTGTATTATGTAGTATATAATGGAAAATTAACATATCTCTTCATTAGTCATGCTCACATCAAGTTTCGACTGATAAATGACGTACTCGATGATGGAAATATTCAAATATAATTAGCCAATAATATCTTATCCGAAACAATGATTGTGACTAATAATATATAACACATCAGCAGGCAGTTAATAAAAAAAAGAAACTTCTCAAAAAAAAACACAATTCTCCCAAATACTAAAAATAGGTATGGTACAGGCGTTTCACCACGAGTGATTTTGTCCAAGCAGTGGCACTCAATGAGGAAGTAGCCATTATTATTGCTAAAAGTGGCATATAGATGGCGTGATTGGTATCGATGGAATTCTTCATAGTTTTGCAAACGTTTTAAAAAACAAAACTGTGTTTTCAAAAATGTTTAATCAATTTTTAAAAAGTTATATATACATGTTAAAATGAAATAATGCGTTTAGAAAAGTAATTTTCATATATTTACTCATTTTGTTATTTTCTAGTACTTAATTACACTTTAATCAGTGCTAATATGGGGCTCAATGTTTTCAAAATGCTTTCATAGATGGCATTGTCGTCATTTGTATCGGCCTAATTAAATGTCTTTTTTATATTTTCCAATAATAAGCACTTAATATATTATTATTGTAAATTAAACATGTAAATTTTTTTTAAGTAAATTAAAAATAGCCGAAAAAGCAAGTAATACTATTTCCAATAATACTTATGTATGAAGTGTTGTCATATTAAAAATAAATACATGTATTATCGATTTTTTTTAATAATCGATAACAGGATTTTATTACAGCGCATTATTCAATGATGCTTTTAATGAGTCGTTGTGAACAGTAAATTTTCATTATTTCAAAGAACGGAATATAGTAGTACATTATTAGTGTCGTTGGTTATTTACATTTGTACTGAATAATCGATTACATAATAATTTAAAATATCGAGTACGAATCGTAGCTGTCTTCGAATACTGGCAACTGGTAAGATTAAAATAGTATTTAAAAAAAAGAGAGAAATCGACCCTAACTCGAATACCATAAAGTTGATTTTCCTTTCTCATTAATATATCATAGCAGTTTGTTTTTAACTTGCGTATGACTCTGTGGTATGATGTTTAACGTGTATTGTTATTGTACGGTGCATACATTTCAAAAATTATCTTTTAATGTAGGTACATACATTTCTTTCATACATTTCATACATTTCAAAAATGAACTTTTTATGTAGGTACATACATTTCTTTCATACATCTCATACATTTAAAAAATTATATTTTAATGTAGGTACATACATTTCATACATGTCAAAAATTATCTTCTAATGTAGGTACATACATACATTTCATACATGTCAAAAATTATCTTTTAATGTAGGTACATACATTTCTTTCATACATTTCAAAAATGAACTTTTTATGTAGGTACATACATTTCTTTCATACATCTCATACATTTAAAAAATTATATTTTAATGTAGGTACATACATTTCATACATGTCAAAAATTATCTTCTAATGTAGGTACATACATACATTTCTTTCATACATTTCATACATTTCAAAAATGAACTTTTTATGTAGGTACATACATTTCATACATGTCAAAAATTATCTTCTAATGTAGGTACGTACATTTCTTTCATACATTTCATACATTTCAAAAATGAACTTTTTATGTAGGTACATACATTTCTTTCATACATCTCATACATTTCAAAAATTATCTTTTAATGTAGGTACATACATTTCATACATTTCAAAAAGTATCTTTTAATGTAGGTACATAACACCCCATGTCAGACCCCTTGTATTTGGAAGAAACTTAAAAATAATGCCAAAAATATTAGTAGAATATATTTTTAATACGAATATTGTTTTATTTTTGTTCATCAACTTTATCCCTCACTAACAATACTAGTAGTAGTACATAACCTGGTTTATACCGCTAAAGATATTGAAAGATATACGAGTAATTCAGAATGTTATCAAGTTCAAAATAAGCACACATTACTTGCTTAGATAACAGAGTAATATTACTCGTAATAAAAACATTTGTAACACCCATATGTATACTACGTATTTATAGTAAGTACTTACGCTGCGGCGCCGTGAGACTCGTCTACCTCATCTACTAACCAATAGGAGCGCGCCTCTCGTGTTTCCAGAAAGTTCGCGACTAACGGACGATATAGTAGTAAGGCAATGAGTGTCCCAGTGACATCATTATAATATTTTCTCGTTAAATTTTATTGTAATATACACAATTTCGCACTAAATAACCTGTTACCCCGTTACACATTTCTAATAATGAAAAACCTAGACCAACCCTGTTCACTTAATCTTACAAGATCAGACTTTAAAAATTACGATATCCTCATATAGCCTTTCATTTCCCCTTTCAATACTTTTTCGCATTAAAAAGTAGCCTTTCTCAAGGTCTACATTATCTGTCTACCAAATTTCAATTAAATCAGTTCAGTAGTTTTGGCGTGAAAGCGAGACAAACAGACAGACTGAGTTACTTTAGCATTTATAATATTTGTAAGAATATCGCTATTAAAAATAGGGGTTGGTGAAAGACGGGTGAAAATTTAGGCGTGTATGTATTTTCAATGTAACATTATAAATAAATAAAAAATTGTCCATAATACAAAAAAATATTTTTTCGGGGTAGGCCACCCCTATGACTTAGGGGTATAAAAAATAGATAACAACCCTACCTCAGACCTGGCAAGTATACATATCAAATTTCATCAAAATGTGGGAGAAATATAGCAACTAACACTGTGATACAAAATTTATATATAAGATATAGCGGAATTCTCATTAGGAAAAGAGGGGTACATCGTAGAATACATGAGGTATATACCAGTAAATTAATTGTATAAAACCAGTCTCTTACACATAACGATTGAAATAAAAATCATTAGCTTATTTTGATACGTACGAGTATAAAAGTATCAAAATCGGGCTATACGTATAGCGCAGACGCGTTACAACATATCAAAAAAATAGGCATGGAATGTAAAATAAACCATAACATAATAGGTATATACATTGGCACATAAGCCATATCTGCAGAGTGTCGGCTAACGATATTATACCTACACATTTACATTGAATCTTGAATCGTCCCTAATGAGGTACACGATACAGTTACCTACATATCTATTATATACATATCTTTGCAAAACAGATGTCATGTAGACTGAATTGACTGCCATCTATTTTCATGCTTTGTTACTAAGCACCCACTAGTAATCCGAACTGCTTCAGATCTAGCGACATCTAGCGGCTACGGTGGCGAAATAAAATAGCCCGAAGAATAGCCCGAGTTAGGAAGGAACCATTTTCTTGTATGGGATGGGGTATCTGTATGTAATATTATGTTATCTGTGGTCCAAGTAAAAAAAAGTTTAGATATTGATAAGTAGATTTGTAAAGATTATATTAGAAAATGAAAGGTTTCTAAACCCGTACCCCGGGAATGATTGCTTTCAGGATGATGGGATGATGCCATGGGAGGGTGGAGGACCCTATTTCTGTCTGCAATTTGGCCAATATTTTTTATTACGTCGGTTTTTCCTACATCAGGCAAAGGCAAAAGGAATCAGCCCATACGGCCATGGCAATAATCATTGAACTTTATCAGTAAATGACAGTTTTATGACTGACAGTTGAGTTGACATGAAATGATTAATGACATTTATTTCATCATGATTTTAATTTTCTTTCTACAACCGTTGCCGTGCGTAATATTTTTTTAAGTAAATCAATGTTACAAGTGCTTTTTATATACATTATTTAAAAAAGTGATCAAAATGAGCGCCTGGCCAGAAGTCTTGACTGCGAAATCCGAGAACCGCCATGAAATCAAATTGGCGGGAGCTGCGATTTCGAAACGCATTTCCGAAAGTGGTTTGGACAAAAATGTCTTTCAATTATTACATTTGAATCTTTTGAATATCAGCGACACATGTCTCACAAGTATTCCTGATGATATAAAAAGGCTGGTCAACTTACAATCGCTTCTTTTGTTTGGAAACAAGCTTGAGTCGTTCAATGAAAACATAACCTCTCTGTCAAAGCTGAAAGTGTTGGATCTTTCAAGAAATCAGATTAAAAGTATACCTGATAGTTTAAATAACATGAAAGAGCTGACTAGCATAAATTTCAGTTCGAACGTTATAGAGAATTTGCCTAAAATTGTTGATTTGCCTAATCTAATAACTGTAGATATATCTAACAATAAACTGGCCATTTTCCCGGACGTGGAGACAGCTAATTTGCCACACTTAACTGATCTAAAGTTGAAGGGTAATGTAATTGAGGAGATACCGAGTTACGTTGCTCGTAGCTTGCCGTCGTTGAAGAATTTTGATATCGGAGACAATCAGTTGAAGACTATACCCGGTGAGGTGGCAAATATGACAAAAATAAAAGGTCAGTCTCATTTAATTGTTCATATATATTTCATTTATTTCTCGTATCCAAAGTTATCAGAGCTATTTTTGTTGTAGTTTTATTTTATTTGTGTGTAGGTGAAACAGAAAAGACTGTATATGTAGAAATATATAAAAATAATATAATATAAGCCATTATTTAACTTTACAGATTTATACATATGTTTAAGCAGTAACTGTGGTCCTATTAGTCTATATTTTTTTTTTTTTCTCCACATCTGAATGTCAACAGGCTGTCATGTGGCCTATAGAAATATACTAGGAAAGTATAAAACAAGAATGTACTATGAAAGAACTATAAATTCAAATAGGAATTTGGAATAATATTTTCTGATTGGCCAGTAACAATTTATTTTTATTATAATAATTTTAATTCGAATTAATGGACCAACATATCTTCTGTTCTATTCTTCTGTTTCCAACATATAATGCAATTATTGTGCAATATAATTTCACAAGTTTATATGTAAATATAAATAAATACTACAAATAAATAATATTTGTTTGTAGTAGTATTATAATTAACACATTATGAGCGGGGCAGATATTTGATCCCATATTAATAAATATATATATATTTCCCTTGTGTCACTTAAAATTACTTATTTTTAAGGGTCCGATTTTTATGAAATTTTATATACACATACAGTAAGTCTGAGATTTAAGCCAAGTTGTACTTTCAAGTTGAATCAAATTACACACTATGTGCAAATCAAATTTGCAATTGCTTCAGTAGTTTAGTCCATTGCGGACAAACAACGTGACACGTAATTTTTATATATAAGGAATACATGCTATATATTATGAAATTAAATATTTACAGAACTAAACCTCAAAGGCAACAAACTGTCGGATAAGAGACTTATGAAGCTAGTCGATCAGTGCCGTACCAAGCAAGTCCTGGACTATATAAGAGAGCATTGCCCTAAAGTGGACCAAAACCAACCAGCTACAGGCAAAGGCAAGGGTAAGAAAGGCAAGAAGCAAGAAGAACCGGTCACAGAAGACAATGTTTGCGACCTGTGTCACTCTATGAGGATTTTACATGTAGAGGATGATGTTTTGAGAGTCAAAATCATTGAATCAGAAGTAGGTGCTGTCCGTCCGTATATATTGTGCTGTATTATAACACAGTTGCACTTTACGGAGGCTCTGTTCAAGAAGTTCATACAACTGCAAACAAAGTTGCACGACACCGTTTGTGACAAGAGAAATGTAGCTACAATTGCAACACATGACCTGAACAAAATCGCACCAGGTATGTTATGATATTCTGTATATATATCTTATGGTGGTAAGTGGTATTAGTTGCCTACACCCGTGTTTCCTAATTAGTGGTACGCGTACCCCCAGAGGTTTGTGAGGTTGCATCAAGGGGTACGTGCGGGTATCAGTAATACACACACACTCGCAAACTTTCACATTTATAATATTAGTGTGTGTCCTACAATAAGTACCCCTTATTGTAGAAATCACATTATTTCTGTAAATACACACATAATATACGTAGAAAACATCAAGACAGACAAACAATCAAAGTCATGAATACAAATGTGTGTACCGCGTGTGGAATCGAACCCGCGCCCATAGGAAATAAGGCAGTGGGCTAAACCGCAAGATCATCGAGGCCGTCAATACATACATAGGTTATTTGCTATGTAAAAAAAATATCTAACAGGTTCAATGTTCTAATGCCAATTAGTGGTACGCGTACCCCCTGGGGTACGTGCGGCTATCAGTAAAACAAACATACACACACTCACAAACTTTCACATTTATAATATTAGTGTTATTCCTACAATAAGGGGTACGCAAGGTATGAGGTTATTTTTGAAGTGGTACGCAGCAAAAATTATTTGGGAACCACTGGTCTAAACAAATGAAGGGCACCAAAATAACAATGAAAAGATGTCCAGGGTATTACTGGTATCATGTCATTTTGGAAGATTAAAATATCAATAATGAATAGAATAGAAAATCATTTAATCATAACATTTTTTTTTATCTATTAATCGCTCATTAGGAAAACTATCTCATCACAAGAAGAATGAATAAGAAACTTATGTGTTGCTCTTTTAAATAATCCTTGTAAGTTCACATTTTACAAGTCGAAACGTGTGAATACAAACTACCAACTAGCATTAATTTATTAGGGTCAAATATCAATACATAATGAGATTAAATCAATCGTAGTGATAGAGCAAACCAGTCCCTACACACAGCACTCGTTCACGATTAAGTGCGGCAAGGGGGTTGAGGTTGGGGGTTGGGGGGGTGCTTAAATAATTGTAATAAATTTGCTTACGTAATACTTGAACGCTCCCAATGATCAAACAACTTTAATTACTTCAATATGCTGAACTTTATAAATTTTTACGAAATTTTCTTTAAAAATGCGAATGTAATTCTGTCTGTCTCGCTTTCACGCCAAAACTACAGAACCGATTGAAATGAAATTTAGTATACAGATAATCTAGACACTGAGAAAGGACATAGGCTACTTTTTAATGCGAAACAGGGTTGAAAGATGAAAGTTTGTAAATACCGTCATCATATTTCAGGCGACCTTGTATACACGGCGAAGGCACCGACCCAGTTGACTCTGACACCGCTGTCGCGGCTGCAGCCCTGCACGGGAGAACAGTTGTTCCACCGGCTCACAGCTGAAGCTGAGGCTCTGAGGAAGGAGAAGAAGCGAAATGTCTTCTCTGGAATACACAAGTAAGTCTCACACTCAATATGAATATTTTACTGTCGCTCACAACTATATTAAGGAAATTCCTTCCTTCCTACCTCCTCTATTTCTATTTACTTCCGACTTTGGTTTTTCTGATACACAAGTAAGTTACGTTACGAACACTGATTAGACTTTTTGCTTTTGCAATAGCATGTGCTGGGTGGTGACTATTCTCCCAAATTAGAATTTATAAAATAATCTGTATTACTGTAAACATGTACAGCATTTATTAGAAAAATCTTGTCAGTTCTTCTCATTTTGAAATCATTCCAAATTTACCGTAGATTTGACATATCATAGGAGTCTGTAATAGACCTATATAAATAAACATATTTTGAATTTTAAGTCTTATAACTTAATATAAATATTTTACTGTACTGTCACTCACAACCATACTATGAAAACGTCTTCCTGCTAGGTTTTTCTGAACCATTTTTTATGGATGATAATGGAATGGTGCACCCACCTGCGCTAACGGCTTATGCTGGCGGGGCACCAGGATGATAAGATGAGCATGAAGTTAGGTCAGTTTGCCCATCGTGATTAAATAACCAGGAATTCACCATGATGGTTTCTAGGGGGAACCGCATGGAGGTACTGACATGGTACATGGCTAGCAATAAGAACATCAGTCCACATTACTAACAATCCCCTTTCTGAACCATTAGAACAGTGGTTCCCAAATAGTTTTTGCTGCATACCACTTCAGAAAGGACCTCAAACCTTGTGTACCCCTAAATATAGCAATCACACTAATATTATAAATGTGAAAGTTTGTGAGTGTGTGTATGTTTGTTTTACTGATAGCCGCACGTACCCCAGGGGGTACGCGTACCACTAATTGGCATTAGAACATTGAACCTGTTAGATATTTTTTTTACATAGCAAATAACCTATGTATATATTGCCGGCCTTGATGATCTTGCGGTTTAGCCCACTGCCTTACTTCCTATTGGCGCGGGTTCGATTCCTCACGCGGTACACACATTTGTATTCATGATTTTGATTGTTTATCAGTCTTGATGTTTTCTATGTATATTATGTATGTCTTTACAAAAATAATGTATCTGTTCTTATTCTAGATACCTGTATTTATTGGAAGGCAAGCCGAAGTATCCCTGTCTACAGGATGCAAGTGGGAAGGTGATCAGCTTCCCTCCCATCACCAATAGTGAAGACACCAAGGTATGTATACTATCAAAATGTATATTTAGCTGATGATGGAATGGTTCATCCACATATAATAATATAATAATAATAATCTATACATATAAATAAAATTGTAAAAAATGTTATTTTGGTGTATGTACACATGCATATAAATATAAATATGGTACATACACCAATATAACATTTTTTACAATTTTTGTCTGTCTGTCTGTCTATTTGTTCCATTTAATCTCTGAAATGGTTGGACCGATTTTGACGGGACTTTTTTTGGCAGGTAGCTGATGTAATAAGGAGTAACTTAGGCTACTTTTATTTTAGAAATAATAACGTTAAATTCCATGCGGATAAAGTCGCGAGCACAGCTAGTTATTAATATTTCTTAATTATTTGTACATTTTTTACTTTACTAGATGTCGCATGAATCGAAGAACATGCTAGTGGAAGTGACCTCCCATGCATCCCTCGGAGCCTGCAAAACAGTTTTAAATAAATTATTGCAAGAATGCTTATTACTTGGCATTGGAGATGATGCTCAAGAAGCTGCTGATTACCACACCCTCGTTGTACAACAGGTATTGTTTTATAATCATAACTAGCTACTCGTCCTAGCTTCGCACGGGTGTACATGTATTATATATATAAACCTTCTTCTAGAATTACTCTATCTATTAAAAAAAACCGCTTCAAAATCCATTGCGTAGTTTTAAAGATAAAGTTTTAGAAGCAGTTATAAATATTTATTACATATTTTTTTTCTAGGTAAAAGTTGTGGACCCAGAAGGTAACCTCAAAAGTGTGTACCCATCCCGAACAGACTGTGTATATGAAGATTCTCCCAATGTTAAAGTATACAGGATGCCCAAGAAATAGACGAAAAACTAACCCCAGACTTGATAGCCCAGTGTTAATATCTAAACACCATGTATCAATCTGGTTGTCTATGTGATAAAATCAATGTGATTTCATACGCTATAACCATACCCCCTCACTTAAAATTGTTAAATATATGTAAACAACTGTATTATAATTCATGGCTGTCTATTTTTGTATGGATTTGACATTAAATGTCAAATTAGTGATTATCAAGTATCGTAATTTTAGGTGGGGGGAGAATGTAGCGCCATTTTCTAAAATATTCTTATTTGCACTAAATACAAGTGATCACCGTGTTAAGGAAATAGAATTTCCGTTATGTTTGATTCTTTTTATTTGCTTTTCATTTTTTATTTTATTTTTTTACTCTTTTACTTTTGTCTACTGTAGGCCATCATATTTTGTGTTACTGAACATAACTAAGTGTAAAAAAAATGTTAGGTCTATTCTGAAGTCTAATTCCAATCCAATCTATTCTTAAATTGTTGTTTTGAAAATTAATCAATTATGAACCAAATAATTCTATAATAATATATTTCAAAAATATCTCAGGACAATTTACACAGCGCCATCTAGCCCCAAGCTACGCAGCTTCTGTTATGGGTACTAAATAAATAATGTCAGTATTTAAACTATGGTAACCGTTTAACATCAGGTGGGCCGTATGCTTGATTCAATGAACACGAAATACTTTGCTAGTTACTGCATGTATTTGTCAATGGATCGGAATTTATTTCCAGAATTTGGTCCTATATTTGTAATATGTACATAAGTCTGGCGTGAAGTTAGATGCAAAAACATACATACAATAGTTATAAAATTTTATACGATTTTATATCATAAACCATAAGTATTAAGGTAGGTAGTGCTTTGTATAATTTTAAAATTGATACATATTTTTAAACTTCCGCGTTTTGTATACATTATTAATATAATTAGACGGGTTATAACTCGAATAACTTTATGGTAAATAAATTTACCTCTCGACGTTTCGACTAGGTTGCACTAGCCGTGGACTCTAGCTCGACTGGAGTTACAGTGATTGTCAATGCAGATAGGTGCCGGCAGTTCGTTCAGCTACCGTCATTAGATTGTATGACAAAAATTACGGCACACCGCACACCGGTATCCCTACACTTATAGAACGATATTACTGAATTTTATTTGAATTTATTAATCACTGTATTCCACGCAGATGATAACTTTAAACCATCTTCCCAATTAAAATTGGGATATTTTTAGTTCTGTGACCTCCCGTACTATTCGTGGATAATCGTGATGATCGGTAGAATTTTACGCGCATGCAGTTCAGATTATTGGCAAATCCATTATTCGTTTAAAACCCGTTTAACTATATTAATAATATAAAATTTATGTGATCATCGTTGTGAACGTAGCTTTGTTGGTCATAATGTATGTGAAAGGTTGTATATTTTTCTTAAAACAAAAAGTATCTGATCGACCGAGCACTCGGCTTTTTAAAATGTCTTCTAAATAACGTTCTCTCATCCGTAATATAAGAGAAAGGCTTCAGTTTTGACGACCTAAAACCTGGATGGATCCTCCATGGGCATGCATCGGGAATATGATCTTATGGATGATAATGGAATGGTGCACCCGCCTGTGCTAACCGTTTACACTGACTGGGCACCAGTGGATGATAAGATGATCAGGTCAATTAGCCCATCATGGTAAATTCAACAGCTTCAGTTTTGACGACCTAAAACTTGGATGGATCCTCCATGGGCATGCATCGGGAATATGATCTTATGGATGATAATGGAATGGTGCACCCGCCTGTGCTAACCGTTTACACTGACTGGGCACCAGTGGATGATAAGATGATCAGGTCAATTAGCCCATCATGGTAAATTCACTATGAATTTATCACATTGCTAGCAATGGGGTTTTTAGTCCACATTAGTAACACTCACCTTTCCCTGTATAAACTCTATTTTGTACTTCCTTTAAATACTAGAAGACGGAAAGTGATGATTTGGAGAGGGTTTATGAAGTGTAGTAGACTGGTGGTATTCGGGACGGTCACCGCAGTAGCTCGGGAAGGCATCATATCTGTCTTTTTTTATTTTATACTAATATGCAATTGTTGCTATTTGATATTATTTTATAACTTGCTGGCCCGCACAACTTGGTCTGAATATCACTTACTTGATATGTGTTACTATATTTATCCCAATACACATAATACATCTTAAAATTATAGCCGTTATTCTGATGTATAAGCTAAAGTTTGGTCAAAATCCGTTGAGTAGTTTTTACGTGAAAGTGTAACAAACATCGATCCATACTCATAAAAATAATAATATATATAATATATTATTATTAAATAATAAAAATATTATCGAATAGCAACAATTTAAGGACAAAAAAACTTACGAGATGGTCATATAAAAATAATATAGTTTTTGTATAATCAGATTTTATTTCCGAAAAAAACACCAATATAATTAAAACACGAATCCTACATTAATACAAATCATTAGAGCCATTTATGAGATATACGAAATAAATAAATATAAACAAGAATATGATAATTAAAAAAAATTGATTTTGAGCAAATGTAAAGAATGTTTACAAATTGTCTGTGATCTATGAAACCAATTGTCTACACATCAAGATGTAATCTTAAAACATAAGAGGAAGTTTCTGTTATCTGTTTGTTTAATAAAGTATTTTTGTAATCCTATTTGCAATTTTTTTTCCTGATGACATTATTTTTTTTATTTATTTCAGGCTACTAGACCCATATTATATAAATACCTTATAAACTTATACATTGGAATAAATATTATAAAACTAATATATTGATATTGTCTATGTGGTCACGGCAATCTGCCACGGTACCGCCGATACACCACACCCTTCAGCCAGTAGTCCTTCATGAAGGTCGGCAGCATGTTGGTGGGGACCCGGCCCACGAACTCCTTGTTGTGAATTGTCTCCAGCTGCGTCACGCTCAATGTCAGGTTATTCCTGGTCCGTATATAATCGACCGGGAGTCCGAAATGATGTAGACTTGTACAATGACAAGTTGTATTCAAATATTATTGGCGAAGCATTCTTAATAATAAAAATCACTGGGGAATTTACACAGCGCCATCTAGTCCTAAGCTAAAACGAACTTGTGTTATTATTCATACTAGTGTTCTATTATATATATATATATTTTTTTAATGTATGAACCGTACGAAGTATTGAACCCGCACTCATCGTTGGTAAGGCTGTACTCTAAACCTATCCACCTAGCATGCCAAGAGTTATAAAATTGATTATCCCAAAAACTACTCGTTGACTTTACAATTGTTTCTTGAAAAACAATTATAAACCTCCAATGACTTTAATTTTATAGGTAAACCAAGTGGAAATGTTTATTATAATATCTAAATATTATAATTTATTTATTTTATTTCTCTATCTACGGCCCCAACTTAACTCTTAACAGTTTACTGTCACTGTCACATTGACAGCCAAAAAAATGCTATTCCCTCCTATCAATTTGAAAGTTTGATTTGTATTCCGATGTTTATTTCATTATAATTTAAATAAATGGTACCATAATATTCCGTTTACAATGAGGCGCAGCTTAGCGCCGAGTCAAATTGGCTCCGGCGACAACGTATTTAAGAGCCCATTACTAAATTCGAAACGAAAGAAGCGGGAATGTTCCCGGATACCGCTCGCTCAAAAATCTCCCTCGCAATCTTTGTCTTCTTCGGAACATGAGAATCTAATCCGGCAGATATTAAGCAAGCCTTTCAAGGTACCTATACCTAATTACGTTTCAGCGTATTGCAGTAAAAGTTTGGGACTAAAACGCAGTCAAGTTAGACGGGCACTGCACGATCCGGATGAGCCTAATGCATTGGTTTTGTACCGGCCTCCGTACATCCCTGAACATGAGAAGATGAAAATGAATGCTAACGATATTAAAGTAGCAGTTGTGGTTGATCCAATATTAGGAAATATCTTAAGACCGCACCAGAGAGAGGGAGTTACGTTTATGTACGACTGTGTTACGGGCAAACAGATTGAGAATGCTTATGGCTGCATAATGGCTGACGAAATGGGTTTAGGAAAGACTTTACAATGCATTACCTTACTTTGGACTCTTTTAAGACAAGGGCCAGACTGCAAACCGACTATATGTAAAGCTATCATTGTATGCCCAAGCAGCTTAGTAAAGAACTGGTATAATGAAATTCACAAATGGCTTGGACAGAGAATAAATGCTCTACCAATGGATGGCGGATCTAAAGCAGACATAACACTGAAGCTGCAGCAATTTATGAATACTTATTCAGCTACTAGAGTTGCTACACCAGTATTAATTATCTCTTATGAAACATTTAGGATCTATTCAAAAATATTACACTCTTCTGATGTTGGTCTGGTACTGTGTGATGAAGGGCATAGACTAAAGAATAGTGAGAATCAAACATACCAAGCATTGATGGGTTTGAAAGCTAAAAGGAGGATATTAATCTCAGGGACTCCAATTCAAAATGATTTAACAGAGTACTTCAGTTTGGTACATTTTGTGAACGAGGGTATACTGGGCACAGCTCAAGAGTTTAAGAAGAGATATGAGAATCCTATTCTGAGAGGCCAGGATGCATTAGCAACTGTCCAGGAAAGGGAAAGAGCACAAGAGTGTCTGCAAACCTTAACCTCTATTGTAAACAAGTGTATGATCCGACGAACAAGCACTCTACTCACAAAATATCTGCCAGTGAAGTTTGAACAAGTCATTTGTGTCAAAATGACGCCACTTCAAACTCAAATATATAAGAATTTCATTAACTCTGATGCTATTAGGAACAAATTTGCAGGCACTGGAGAGAAGAGCAATACACTAAGTGCTTTATCAAGTATAACTACACTTAAGAAATTATGTAATCACCCCGACTTAGTTTATGATAAAATCATGGAAAGATCTGAAGGTTTTGAGAAAGCTAGAGATTTATTACCAAGTAATTATGATATAAAAGATGTTAAACCAGAATATTCTGGTAAGCTAATGATCCTGGATTGTATATTGGCTAATCTAAAAACAAATACAGATGACAAAATAGTTTTAGTCTCAAATTATACACAAACTTTAGATTTGTTTGAGAAATTATGCAGGAAACGCTGTTACCAGTATGTAAGACTTGATGGTTCAATGACAATAAAGAAGAGAGCTAAAGTTGTCGAAAGTTTTAATAATAAAGAATCAAAGGAGTGGATTTTTATGTTGAGTTCTAAAGCTGGGGGATGTGGTTTGAATTTGATTGGTGCAAATAGATTAATCATGTTTGACCCGGACTGGAATCCGGCGAATGATGATCAAGCCATGGCTCGAGTTTGGCGCGATGGGCAGAAGAAGCCTTGCTACATCTACAGACTTCTAGCGACAGGTACAATTGAAGAGAAGATATTCCAAAGGCAGGCGCATAAGAAAGCACTGAGCGACACAGTAGTCGATCAAAACGAGGAGTCCCTCCGTCATTTCACATCAGAAGACCTCAAAGATTTGTTCCGTTTAGAGGAAAACACTTTATCGGACACTCATGGTAAGTTTAAGTGTAAACGATGTGTGAATAATATACAAATAACACTGCCTCCAGAGAATTCTGATTGTACTTCTGATCTATCTAATTGGTATCACTGTGCTGATAAGAAAAGTTTGGCTGATCTTGTACTTAAGCAATGTTGGGATTTAGCAAAGACTATTTCGTTTGTTTTCCATCATCGCTCTGCTAAAACTGAAGCAAAAGAGGTGAATATTGAAGAAGAGAAGGAGAACATTCAAGAAAAAAAGAGAAGGAAAATAGAAATTGATGAAGATTACTCTGAACCAGATGATAGTGCTGATGAAGATTATGTTTAAAAATCATGATGATCTGTATGTAAATGTTTATTTTTTCTGTTTTAAGGATAACATATTTGGTTTGTATTAATTGTAAATATTTATTATAACATAAGTAACATTATGGAAAATATAATTGTGAGACAGTTATATACATACAAGAAGGTTAATAAAAAAAACTATTTTAAATAAATAAAAAATATATTGATTGTATAACAAATTTTTCTTTTATAAACTAAAAAATAATAACAAATCATTTATACATAAATTAATCTTAAATTAAGAGTACATAAATAAAAGTACATATTTAACGCCAATGCACAATTTTAAAACTACATATAGATAAAAATATCACAATGGAATGAAAAAAAAATAATAGGGCCTCATTTGGGAATAGCATAAGACTTTCCTACAAGTTGGCTGCCAGTTTCTTTGCCATTAAATCATATTAGAATATTAAAACAAAATGCATACCAATTAACAGTCTTATAAAACACATTATATTCTAAAAACTTCTATATATATAGAATGCCAACATAGAAGTTATAAGCTCTGCTTAGTCCGGGACTAGATGGCGTTGTGTAATAATTATAATTAAACCCAGGACAATTCTGAAAACTATATATGTATATATATCTAATATATTATATAATTCTCGGGTCGCGGTGTTTCCAATTCTGAACCGACTTTACCGATTATTATAAAATTTTGTGGGTAGGTGAATTGGCCCATATCTATTTTTTACATGCTAACAATAAGAGTGACTCGCCACTGAATATTTATTATTTTTACTAGTTATTTTTATAGCATTATATTTTTTATTTCTATAACACGGAAAAAATGAGCATGCGGCTCACCTGATGGAAAGTGATTACCGCCGCCTATGAGCACCTGCAGCACCAGGGGAATTGTAAGTACGATGTCGGCCTTTTAAAAAGGAATAAGCTCTTTTCTTGAAGGTTTCATCGTATCGGTTCGGAAATACCATTGCTGGAAGGTGATTCCTCAATGTGGTTGTGCGTGGCCGTGGCGCCATTCATTCAGATGATCAGGATTGTATTTTAGTTTCTGGCGGGTGGTACGGTGGTGAAGATAGTGGTGGTTATGACTCATTACAACTTAAAATTTCCACATTTTTACGATTAACACCAGTTTGTTTTTAGAGATATTACTTTAATTATTTTTCATTTGAGACAAAAATTAATATTGTAGTATTATGACGTAATACAACTTAAAATATTCACCATTTTACGACTAACACCTGTTTTTTATAGCACTATATTAGTATAGTAGGTACTTTAATGAATAATAAATCGTCGGTTAAATAGAAAAATGGCACTATTCAAAATGTACATTTTTTAAAAGATAATCATTTAAAGTTTTTAAAAATATTTAATTTTTTTTCCTTTAAAGTTTTAACAAAAATTTACACAGAAGTATTATATAATAATAATAATCTCAGGACAATTCACACAGCGCCATCTAGTCCCAAGTTAAGCTAGCTAAAGCTTGTGTTATGGGTACTAGATAACTGATACAGATACATAGATATTTTATTTTTCGTAAATATATAGAAAACACCCAGATCGACACAAACAATTATACTCATGAATACAAATGTTTGTGCCGTGCGAGGAATCGAACCCGCGACCATCGGACGTAAAGCGGTGTGCTAGACCGCTAGACCACCGAGGTCGTCAATATATATGATTTTAAAAGTATTTAGATATATATAGGCGGCAATTTAAGCTTATAATTTTGAAAAATGTGTTTTTTCTATTTAAGCGACGATATGGCAAAACAACGTTTGCTGGGTCAACTACTATGGTTATAAAATTAATTTATATTGATTATTGAGTAATAATATGCAACATCGATACACAGCTACATTACTATATAAAAGAGAAGGTGATAGTTTAACTGGAGCAACTGAGTTTGACTCCGTAAGACCAGCTGGGCGGATGCGCTGAGTAGCCACATCTCTCAGCCTTCTCGTTGACTTCAAATGGATTCCTGAACACTTTTAACAGGAATCTCACCTGTAAAAGAGAAAATAAGCACAATCTACAAATCTTATTCTTACTTATCTATACATATAAATAAAATTGGAGTGTCTGTTTGTAATATTGAAATAACCGTTTTTCAATATTATATTCATATGAATATAAATACGGTACATATACCAAAATAACATTTTTGAATATATTTTGGTATATGTACTATGAATTTTAAGTTAGATATTTTCTACAAAAACATTATTATCATTTATAACTTCTTCAATTTTATAATAAGCTTTTTTACAAAGAAAATATTTTATAAGACATTTGAATGTTTTTTCTGGCAAATTGAATAAATAAAGATTTGTAAAACAGATGGATGCTCTGTCAGTATCATCATCATCGGTTTCTTCCTTATCCCATTTATTTGTGGCCGCCGTAATGTTTTTCTCTTCCATTGATCCCTGTTCGCAGTCATCACGTTATACTCCCTTTCTCACCATATCATCTTTCACACAGTCCATCCATCTCTTATTCGGTCTTCCTCTGCCCTTATAACCATCCACATTCATATGTAACTTCCTTAAGATATGATCTTCATTCCTACGCATTACATGTCCATACCACGATAGACGATTACTCTTTAACCTCACCGACATCGGCGCCACTCAGTATGTTGTAATTAGTAAAAATTGCCTGATTGACCACAAGCCAGTTTCATCAGTGTACAGTTTGATGCAGTCCTGACTCCCAAAATAGCGTGAGCTGTATATCAGGAGTCAGTTCCTTCCCAAAACAATATAATATATGATAACAGTTTTGATTAATTTACATGTAGACTTAAACTTAATTAATATTTTATACAATTTAGCCTGTATGTGTGTGTGTATTAATGTGTGTGTATAATATATGATTACCTTTTCAAAGTCATTCTTCTCTGCATCAGCAATGGCCTCTTCCATTATCCAATTCTTTGGTACATACAATGGATTCACTTTGAGCATGCGAGCTGACCGCAACTCCTCGCTCACTGTAATACACAATACCTAATAATTAATCTTATAAAAATACTTATTATTTCCCTAAAGGCTTTTCGAAAGAACCAAAGGCCGTTATAAATTGCCAGTGAATTTGCCATGATGGGTTAACTGGGATGATCTTATACTGATCTTATCATCCTCCACTGGTGCCCCGCCAGAGGTACACGTTAGCGCAGGTGGGTAAACGATTGCATTATCATCCATTAAAAAAATAACAAATATCGTTGCGTATAGTTACATTCTCTATTCTTTTCTGTTCTAGTTACTTTAATAATAATAATCTCAGGACAATTCACACAGCGCCATCTAGTCCCAAGTTAAGCTAGCTAAAGCTTGTGTTACGGGGACTAGATAACTCATACAAGTACATAGATTTTTTTTTCGTAAATACATACATATGATACATTGAGAACACACAGACCGATACAAACAATCATACTCATGAATACAAATGTTTGTGCCGTGCGAGGAATCAAACCCGCGACCATCGCGCGTAAAGCGGTGTGCTAAACCGCTGGACCACCGATGTAGTCAACTTTAAAAAGAATGAGAAATATTTTTTATAAAAATTTATATATATTTTTTAATTTATTTTTTAGTGCACCGCCAACAATCTTTCTCTGCACCACTCTTTGGCTGATAACGCCGCAACGTGTTAAATCCACAACACATTATTTTTGTGCATTGAAGTTAAATATGTATATAAAAAATATGATAATTAACAACCCCACCAAGATCAGATCGAGACGTGACTATAACAGTCAGCTTATTTATGTAATTATATAATTTTAGATGTATATTAGTACATTTATATATATATATTTTTCTGTATTTATCTATTTTATACTTGTTAAATTGCACCGCCATACTGTCTCTGATAAACGCGACGGTTGACTGGTAGAGAATGCCATCTGGCACTAAGTCATGTATACAATTTTGTGTGCAAAAGAATAAATAAATAAATGATTATTGGCAACAGATTTTTTGTCAACATGTCAACATTAGAATAGAATAGAAAATCATTTATTCAAATAAACTTAATTTAAGCACTTTTGAATAGTCATAACAATTGTTTGTATACCGCTCGTTCGGAAGTGCTGTCTCATAACAAGAAGAACGAGCAAGAAACTTGTGTGTTGAAATATTGTAAATCATCATTACATAGAATAAAACAAAAGTCGCTCCCGCTGTCTGTCCCTATGTATGCTTAAATCTTTAAAACTACGCAACGGATTTTGAAGCGGTTTTTTTTATAGATAGAGTGATTCAAGAGGAAGGTTTATATATATATAATACATGTACACCCGTGCGAAGCCGGGGCGAGCTAGTTGTGGATAAATATTGGAATAAAACTACGTGATTACATGTTATTACAACATAGTTACATTATTTTTGTGTATTAAAGTTAAATAAATATAGTAAAATTCCCTCACCATTTTCTGCTTTCAGTCTGTTACGATATTTGGTGACCCAGACGGCCCACTGCGGCGCCTCGTGAATTTTGTTCAAAGACCATTTCCCGTCCAATACACTTTTCACTAATAACTTGTTTGCTGGTACCTGAATAAAAAATAATGAAATGAAATAGTTATTTTTAAACTTGCGTGTTTAATACACATTAATTATATTATTAACACGAATAATTTTATGTCAAATAAAAGGTATGTACCTCTCTCGACGTTTCGACTAGGTTGCACTAGCCGTGACAAAGTGACAAATGCCTCCCTCAAAGGGCCTCCCGTTTGTCCAGCAGTGGACGGCTTCCGGGCTGATATGATGATGATGGTGATGATGATGATATCGACCACTACAATAACAACTAGTTACAATAATACCTCAGCCAGCTGCCTGAATGTGGCCGTGAAGTCAGCCATCGTGTTCTGCATCAGCTGTAACAGTTCATCCACTAGATTGACATCGCCGTCCTGCACTTCATTCAGACCCAATTTGTAGACATACGTCTGCCTGTTGACAATACAATACATAAATAAATAACCCTTGTCCATTAACCCTTCGAACGTTTTGACCTCTTAAACCGTATTACCGTCTTGTCACACACATCTGTGCCCGCAAAGCCGTCACTTTTTTAACCAATTTTATCCTTATTTAAAAGAAAATAAGATTGAATTTTAAAATTATATTAAAAGTAGGTAGTTTGTATTTAGTATCTCGTGTCACAAGTCACGGTGAGCTTAATGCATTCTAAAGGGGCCTTTAAACCTACACCCGTGTCACAAGTCACGGGGGCTACTTGGGGTTTCCCTTGCGCTAGCCGGCTTCAAAGCCTAAGTTGTTATCATTAATTACTGCTTCTTACACTCATAAAACAAATATAATACTCACAATATCTTATCATTGGCGTATTGGTCGAGAGTATTTCTAACTTGTTGAATTTTCCTTCTCTGAATATCAGTTAGTATCGGCTCCAAAGCGGCAGCGAATTTCTTCAAGTTCCACAAAATTATCTGCAACAAATAAAACAGTATAGTGACCCATAGTTGGTTATAATAAAACCAGTGGCGTAGTTAGATAACCAAGGGCCCTTGGGCAAATCAAAAAATGGGGCCCCACTGCAGTGGGGCCCAGCCAACAGCTTCACCGGACGATAGAGGGCGAGTGCAGATGGCACTCCAAACCCGCAGAAGGACTTATGGAGCGGTTGAAGGCCAACTCTGATGGATACGACTAGTGTGAGGACACCGTTGGGGTTCTTCCGCGGGTTGTGAGTGCCATCTGCACTCGCCCCCTATCGTCCGATAAAGCTGTAACAGCAACGGCCTACAGCATTAGAGTAGTCCGAAAAAAAATCGCATTGCGAAGCATTTGTATCTACCTCAGGCTGTTGACAGTAAGCGTATCGCGCCATATCATCCGACGTGTTGGGCACGTAGTGTCTATGGTAGTGCTCTATAAACCCGTACGGGCCATAGTCTATGGTCAGGCCCAGGACGCTCACGTTGTCGGTATTCAGAACGCCGTGGGTGAAACCGAATCCTGTAAATAAATATCACGTATAAAACGTCATTTTATCCTAACTAGAGACTGTATAGAGGCAGACTGCATCTTCCGTTCTCCTCGTTGGTGTTACATTCAAGTGGTTCTGGTGTATGTTACTAGAGGCTGTAGAGGGGAAGGGGATGATTAGTAATGTGGACTGCTGATATTATTACTAGCAATGTACCATGTCAGGTTGACCTCCACGCGGTTCTCCCTGGAAACCGTGATAAATTCCTAGTGAATTTGTCACGATGGGCTAACTGACCTGACCTCATGCTCATCTTATCATCCTCCACTGGTGCCCCACCATCGTAAACCGTTAGCGCAGGCGGGAACACCATCCCATTATCATCCGTAATAAAAAAAATATAGGCGCTGTATGGGGAGAAGGTGATTGTCAGGAATGTGGATTTATGGCCCCATTGCTAGCAATGTACCATGTCAGGTTGACCTCCACGCGGTTCCCCCTGGAAACCATCGTGATAAATTCTTGGTGAATTTGTCACGATGGGCTAACTAACCTGACCTCATGCTCATCTTATCATCCTCCACTGGTGCCTCGCCAGGGTAAACCGTTAGCGCAGGCTGGTGCACCATTCCATTATCATCCATAAAAAAAAAATAGGAGGCTGTATGAATATTCTGGTTTGTTGTGTACATAGGTATTTTATTCGTATTTTTCTATTTACAATATTTATTCTTCAAACTTCCTACTCTTCGGGTATTTAGCAAATTTTTCAAACATTATAAATTTTGCTAAACCGCTAGGCGAGTACCATCAATAATACTAAAAAACATTTTGTGTGTGTATAAAGGTATAACATACGCTCACACATAGACTGAAAGAGATGCCAATATCATCTGCTTCTTCCTTATACCATTTATTGGCATAATATGATAGAGAGAAAGAGATATCAATATATAAGTAGAAAATGCAGTTACCTTGCCACGCTGCCACCATGTCGATATTCCTATGGGCCACTTCCGTATACCAGTTCACGTACTTATCTTCATCATCTCGGATGTTCGGGAAATAGTTCTGGAAGAGATTTTTTCATACTTAATTATTGTTACATAACAAACTGCATACTGTGCTCCCTATAACATAGATCAGTCAAATAAAACAGTTCCTTTGCGCGTTGGCTATAAAATTGAAGAAACCGTTAATATATATAGAAAAATTTTAAATCCATAGCACTGACAATATTATCTGATTACACGTCATAATGTGTAGTGCGTAGCGATTTCTATGTTAATGGGGGCATGACCTGTTGTTATACAGACACTTGATTTTAATAGATGTTTTTTTATATATTGCATAAAAAACATGCTGGTAAAAGAGTGACACACAAGTCTTGCTCATTCTTCTTCTGCATTCCAAATTAGAATCAAAAATGACTATTATTTTTAGTGAATTTGTCGATGGGCTAATTTGAATAAAGATTATTTCATCTTATCAATGATGGCTGATTCATCCGTCATACCCAGAGTCAACTGGTAGAGCAATCGAGTACACCATTCCATTATCATCCATTAAAAAAGAATCCCCAAGCGGTGAAACCCTCGTGACTTCTGGTGCATTCAACATGATTCTATCGGACAAAATTGTTAATAATGTGGATTTGAATTTAAAAATGAATATCTGTATTATTCATGATAAATTTCCGGTGAATTTGTCACGATGGTTTGGAAAATTGGTTGGGCTAACTGATCTGACCTCACGCTCACCTTATCACCCTCCACTGGTGCCTCGCCAGCGTAAACCGTTAACGCAAACAGATGCACCATTCCATTGTCATCCATAAAAAAACTTCTTTCTAACTGACCTGATTTCATGCTCATCCTTCGTTCTCCAGGCACTCCGCTAACGTTTTTCAAACGATCTTTGTGATAAATGGAGAATCAACTTACCTTGATGATGTGGTCGACTAGAGTCTTCATAATTTTCGGTTCTCTCATCTTGTCCAGTATCTCTATAGATCCTAGGCGATACCAGGCAGGTGCCAGACGCAAGACTATAGCCGTGCTCTCAAGCTGTGCGTTTCCGGTGTAAAATTTGTCTCGCCAGACTTTCTTAGGCTCACTAACTGCATACAAAAATTACAAGTTTTTATATATATATTGTTTATCATACAGATAATCATATTATGAATAATAATATATTTATTTGTCAGAATATGGTATGTACAATGCTGCACCCGCTACTTTGTTCGCGTGGAATTTCACTTTATTATATTTTTCTAAAATAAAAGTTGCCTAATACATCAGCTACCTGCCAAAAAAAGTCCCGTCAAAATCAGTCCAGCCATTTCAGAGATTAACCGGAAGAAACAGAAAGACTGACAGACAAAAATTGTAAAAAATATAATTTGGTGTATGTACCGTATTTATATTCATATGCACGTAGTAAAAAACGGTTATTTCAATATTACAAAAATCAAAATGAAACGGCTACGTGTACGGGTGAAAGACCTACACGCGGGGACGACACGAACCAGGTTTGTCCTTAGTTTTCCATTTTAACCCAACACATTATATACATATACAAACATAGATATATATCATTACATAGTATAAAATAAAGTCGCTGTCGCTGTCTGTCCCTATGTACGTTTAAATCTTTAAAACTACGCAACGGATTATGAAGCAGTTTTTTTAATATATAGTTGATTCACGAGGAAGGTTAATATATATAATACATGTATACCCGTCCGAAACCGGGGCGAGTATCTAGTTAACAATAATTTTACCGTCAATTTTTATATTCTTCTAGGGCAGTCGCTCTGCAAGTTAATATGTCACGAATTTCCTTACCTACCAAAGCTGCAGCTCTTGTGGTTGGTATACCGAGGAAGTAGCAAGCTTCAGAAGCTATCATCTCCCTGATTGAAGAGCGTAGCACCGCTCTGCCGTCTCCGAACCTGGAGTATGGCGTCTCTCCAGAACCTTTCAGTTGAGGTTGCCAGGATTCGCCCTTTCTAGAATTTTTTTTTATAATGAATTATAAATAAGTACCTATATTTATTTTATTTTATTTTGGAGTATGGCGTCTCTATGCCTACGCCATATGCGTTGACAAGCATATGGCTTACCTAGGCCTATGCACGACAAAAATCTGCAGATTCTGCCAAACTGAAGAGGAAACGCCACTATTGTGGTTGTAATCATGCATAAACGAAATCTCCCTTGGAAAGTTTACTTTCCCGAGGCGATAAAAACCATCGCTCCTAAGAATATCCTTCATTCTTGTCCCTGACGGGTTAGGTAGCGAACTCTGAAAAGGGCGAGCACAATAGATCTATGTAGGTCGCAGTGCTACAGGTGCTACAAACATCTGACAATAGGGGGAAAGGGATCGTTAGTAATGTGGATTGATAACCCCATCGCTAGCAATGTACCGTGTCAGGTCGACCTCCACGCGATTCCCCCTGGAAACCATCGTGTTAAATTCCTGGTGAATTAGTCACGATGGGCTAACTGACCTGACCTCACGCTCATCTTATCATCTTCCACTGGTGCCCCGCCAGCGTAAACCGTTAGCGCAGGCGGGTGCACCATTCCATTATCATCCATAAAAAAAAAAAAACATCTGACAATAGCCCAAACAACCCAATAAAAAAAATGGCGGCTCTCCATGGCGTAACGCCTGGTAAATTGCTGTGTGTGGCACAATAAGCTGACACCGCTACCGGGAACAACAAATTAGCAAGAATACTGACACCTGACTTACATTATTAATTGTTACAATTATGGCAGTCTTGTTCCATCATTATACATAATTATACATTTTGTACTTTGATAATTTCATTGTTTTAATTAATTAATTTATTTATTTATTTATTAGCATACAAAACAGATTACAGTCAATATAATAATATAATTAGGAGCGTGTAGTTCGGTACAGAACTGGATTGTAATCCAACACTATGTATGCCTAAGAGCTAAATTATATAGACGCATTCAATATACGCTAGATAGCTAGATAAGGTTATATAATAAAAAGTAAACTAAATAGAAAATGATATATAACTATAACTACGCAATGCAATAAATTATCATGTTAACAGAACTTTATTTATATTAAAGAAAAGAAAATTGGTATAATGTTAAATATAATTTGTCACTTTACGGTGGAAATTTAATTAAATAAAATATATTTTTAAAACGCAAATATCGCCCGCCATAACATAAATCTCTCCTGAACCTTTTACTTGGATTATCAGTTTCGCCCTTTCTAGAAATTTCATTTTATTTTTTTATAATGAATTTTTAAAAAGCATTTCTATTTAATTATCAAGAATTCAATCATACTAATATCAGATACGGAATTTTGAGTGTGAATGGATGGATGTTTTTTACTCTATCATGCATAAACTACGAAATGGATTTTAATGAAACTTTTCAATAATATAGCTTATACATCCGAATAACACATAGGCTATAATTTTCACGTGGGTGCTACACCTACACCTCGTTAGCTGATATTTTTATAATGTTATACTTCCATTAAAATTTACTACTCAAGTAAAAATCTCCAGTTTTTAGCTATAATTGGTTGCATTTTAATTTTATCACTTCAATTAAAATTCACTACTCCAGTAAAAATCTCCATTTTTAGCAATAATATTACTCACCTATTAACGTACTCCCCAAGAATATGGGCTCGTCCATCACCGAGCTGGTCTGCCCACAAACCAAATTGGTACCCGCCATATCTAAAATAAAATAAAAATATTTACACACTACAATATGTGTCGTCACTTATGTAAGTTTGTATATTTCAAGGTATTTTCTATTATCCTTAATACATATAAATAAAATGGAAGTGTCTGTTTGTAATATTGAAATAACCGTTTTATACTATATTCATATGAATTACAATTTTTGTCTGTCGATCTGTCTGTCTGTTTGTTCCGGCTAATCACCGAAATGGCTGGACCAATTTTGAACGGGACTGGGACTTTTTTAGTAAGTAGCTGATGTAATAAGGAGTAACTTAGGCTACTTTTATTTTAGAAAAATATTAAGTTAAATTCCACGCGGACGAAGTCGCAGGTGCAGCTAGTAATATATATAGAAGTATCTACTGGATGCCTGGGAGAAATTTAAAATTGGCTATCGACAGCAAACTTCTCATTTATAAGGCAATGTTTAAGCCAATTTGGACATATAGAATACAACTATGAGGCTCTGCCAGTACTCCAACATAATGACAATACAGCGAGTTCAAAACTATATATTAAAACAACTTTCAGATGCACCAGGGTTTGGTTTATAAGAACAACTGAGATCCACAAAATACTTGATATTCCCATGGTTAAGGATGTAGTTAATGACTACAGCAACAAATACAAATTACGAGTACACAGGCACCCAAATAAATTCGCTGGGCAACTTACAATACCGGAAAACGTGTGTTGAAGAAAGGAAAGGCGTGATATATTTGACCAAGATGTTCAGACAGGACTGACTTTTTATGAACGAAGAGCTGCTCTACTGGGAGCGGCACTCTACCAGCTATATACGGAGCACTACATCTTCTCAACAGTGGCGGATCGTGAATTTGTGGGGCCCTGGGCTAAATCTCCTTGGCCTACCTAATTATATTACTCAACTAAAAAAATACACCGTCCATGAACAAGCGACCAGAAATTCCCCGTTCCTTTCCATAGAAGCGCACTTGCATGGGTTGATTGATCTCAGGGTTGCCAACCTTATGATAGGTTTTTTTACATTTTAGATATTTTTTTTATATTCTAAATATCGTTTCAGTACGGACGGGGGGGCCTTTTATAACCTTGGGGCCCGGGGCTGCAGCCTAAACAGTGCTTAGTTAGTTCCGCCCCTGCTACTAGTCCACATGACTAATTGCAAGATTTCTAATAGGAAAAAAAATTATATGCAAATAGATCAAAAGGTCAAATTTTTGGTCGTGATTGATGCTTATAGTAAGTGAAGTGGCTTGAATGTATTCCTATGTATAACAGCCTAACTATATTAATAAATTAAGTTGTTTATTTTCTTTGTTTGAATTACCAAATGTAATCGTTTCAGTTAATGATCCTAAAATAAGTAATAACGAATTTTTATTGTTTTGTAAAAGTAATGGTATAACTCATTTAACTTCGCCTATCTATCACGCTAGCAGGATTTCTAATAGAAAATAAATTTCTTCTATTAATAACGGCCAGTTGTAAAGTTCACAAAGTTCCAATACAAATAACATAACTGTACCTGTGACACTCACGGTGGTACGCGTTCAAGAAGAGAGGATACTACTGAAGACGGAGTGCTGCCCGGCACCGAAGTCGTTAATGTTTCGTCTGCTGCCCCAAAAGGGGGAGAGTGCGATAGAAGGGACAGGAGTAGAAATAATTTGTAGGGGTCAAGAGAATGCATGCTTTTCAGCGCGCATTCCCTGTAGATTCGGCCAGTATAACCAAGAGGTTGGCATGGCCATGGGTTGGTGGAGAGTTGTACCTGTGACACACCGTGTAGCCTCCCGCAGGTAGATACTTTCCAGCTACAAACTTCACAAACTCCTCAGAATCTTCCACAGCGGGGTCCAGATCCAGGATTTCAGTCAGAGCATCATGAGAAGAACACACCAATTGGACTTTATCAATAAGTGGATTTGTAGGGACCTGGAATTAAAATAATCAAAAATATTTATATTAGTACTCACAGACTCGACTATGTGTTGCTGTGGCTAATGTTCTTGAATAAAATAATATTGCGACTATAAATAGAGATGTAAGCTATCATTATTTCTCTTTCAAGTTAGGAATGCAAAAAATTATGATAATAAAATCAGAATATTAAATATTGGACACAAAAGAGGGCATGTCGCTGAAGAATAATTAGCTAAATTATTGTATTTATAGATACTAGTAGTTGTCACAGTAGTTGCAATACAACCATAATTAATTTAATATTCAGTAAGACTATAGACAAGTATTAAACACAAACAATTTTAATTTATTCTAAACTGTCAGACCACACCACCACACCACACATTGCTGTGGTGGCTAAGGTTCTTGAATAAAATAATATTGCAACTATAAACAGAATGAAATGAAATGTAAGCTATCCTATTTTTCAAGTTGGATCAAATTGAACACAATGTGTAAATCAAATTTGCAATCAATTCAGTAGTTTAGGCGTCCATCACGGACAAACAACATGACACATAATTTTTATATATAAAGATGAGCTTGTCTGGCTACTTTAGTAGTCTGGCTCTATACACACAACAGCCCAGATGTGACGCTAAATATATAGAATAGAGTCCACAATACAATACAATATTTTAGTATAATATATATATATATATCTGCAATGAAATAGCTGTCTAAATGAAGGACATAATGTGATTGAAATAAATGAATATTAATAAATCCTAAATTTAAGTTTATTTGAATAAATAATATCCTATTGTATTCTGAATCAAAATTAAATGTCTATTCAAAAGTTAAATACTAAATATTTCTCAAGCTCGCCCTCTACCGTTCGGTGAAGTTGTAAAGAGCAGCTGCAGCCAACAGAATTGAGTATTTCAAAAAACTGTTTATTTGTAATTCTTTATTGTACAAAATATTAATAGATACATATATCTTAAAAAAATAAATAGATGGTACAATGGCGAACTTATCCCAAAAGAGGGATTTCTTCCAGTCAACCTTTGAATGACTGAAAGGAATTGTGGAGTGGTGAACACAAGTACAATAAGAAAACAGTACTAAGTCTACCTCGGTAAAAGTTGAAGTACCTTAGAAAAAACCGCGTTTCTCACAGCATAAGGGGTAATATTCTCTGGATCTTCAATTATGGGATGTTCATTTATTGGTAGTTCAGCGTAAATTGGCCGCCCCTTAAACTTCCACTCCTTGAAATTGCTTATTGCACTTTGGCCAGACATATTCTTGTATTCACTTCTAACTGTTGTAAGTGTACACAAAGCTCGCCTCATTTAATCAATTTATACTATTATTATTAAACATTTTGGCTGAAGTTCACCACTAAGTAGCCATTTCAACAGTTTTAAATTCGCAAATGTTTTCCAAAAGTTTTAGGAAAAATAATTTTAATAAAGTAAATTAAAATTAGAAAACTGAAGGTAAATTAAATTACAATAAGTAATTCAAACACTAACAACAATGAATAGTGAATAGATTATTTGTGATAAATAATTACATTAAAGTGTTTTTATTTTTAATTTCTATGATTCAAAAATTTGCTCGTCATTATAACAGAGTAGTAAATTATTTGACGACAACAGAGGCTACACCACAGGTATTCTGCCTGTCAATCATCATATGTCATTTATCATAGGCATGGAAAAATGTATATTTTATCGAAATAGTTATTTTGCAGAGTTCATTACTAGACTAATTTATCGGATTTAGAGAAACACATAACGAGTCGTAATCTAGTAATCGAACAATCGACACTAATGGATTGTTGAATCTATTTCTAAATTATTTTACTTCATTAAAATCCTTTGTATAGCTTAAAAGATCTAAGCAAAAATGTAATAGAGCAGTCAACACTAGCATCCAAGCTACGTATATCCAAACTCTATTTATAGCCAGATGATGCTTCGTTCAGAGGTGAAACACAGGTCGCAATATGAATAGATCTGTAATCGGTCGGATTCTCATCTCTAGTTGGGAAGTTTATAACGCTTTCAATGATGGTGGTCAGGTTTCCGAACCGAATATTTGTTGTCTCAGATGCTAATAGTTTTAATAAAATACAATTAATTAATAAAAAAAATACAATTAAAAAATCCATTGAGTATTTGCCACAAGATTGTAATTATCACATAGTTACCATAAATTCACTAAAAAAATAATATGTAGGTAACCATAAATTTTAATAAATAATAATAATATGACAATTATAGTTTATAATTTTTATACAGATAGATGTTCCTAAGTAGAACAACTGATCTTCAAGGCGAAAGCCCACTGAGGAGGTTGTGCTGAAAACCCCCGTCTTTCAGCTTCCGGTTGTACTTCATAAGGGTTCCTCATGGTTTCCAATAAGAATCTCACCTGAAAATATTTATTTTTATAAGTCTAAAATGACGTTAATTTATAGCAAATTACGAAAAACAATATTAATAATATTCACGCAGCGTCATCTTGTCCCGAAACAATCAGAGCTTGCGTTTTTTTACTAGACAACTAATATAAACACATAGATATATATTTTTAAGCATAGAAAACACCCAGACAATCGTACTCATGAATCTTTGTACCATCTGAGAAATCGAACCTGTGACGTACTTTTATTTTTACAGACACATTTTATGTATTATATCTAATTTTTTTTTATAATAATGTACTGCTGTATAATGTACTATCTGTATCGCCTCACCACTGTAGTGTTATATATGATGTGATGAGGTGTCGCTACATAATATAAATATTGTTTATTGTAGTATATAGGTAGTGAGTATACTGGTGAAATAATTTTACTATTTATTGTGACAAATTCACCAAGAATTTATAGCGATGCTTTCCAGGGGGAACCACGAGGAAGTCAGGTTCATTGCTAACAAAAAGATCATCAGTCCACATTACTAACAATTGCCTTCCCCCCCCCTGACACCCCCTAACAACCCCTTCCCCCCTCCCCCCTCCCACATCCCCTACATAACTTATTAGTAACGCATACATTCGACGGGGAATCCTAACGTAGACGGACTTTACACTCAACTTAAATCTATGTAACCTGGAGGGGAGGTCTCGAGTATACACTATACAAAAATACCTTCTGAAAATCATCTTTTTCTGCATCAGCTATAGCCTCCTGTAAAAGCCAGTTTCGCGGCACATATACGGGATTTACACTGCACATGCGCCTGCGCCGCTCATCTTCGAACAAACCCAGTGAATTGGCATCCACTGCGATAAAAATATAACGTAAAGTGTTGGATAGTCAACACTAGGCTTCCAAGATATATCTGAGCTCTATTCAACACCTGATGATGCCTCGTTCAGAGGAGGAAGACTATCGCAATATGGGTGTAGACTCAATACCGGTCGGAATTTATTTTTATTTTATATATTTATTTATTTATTTACTTACACAACTATTATTACAGGCCTAAGCCCAATACAATAGTGTATCTAATTCTATATTATACATATTCGTTAACATAACATATAACATACAATGTTGTTTTTGTGAATTCACAGCTTTTTATGGTGGTGATCGTACGCTTCCAGCAGCGGTGGTCAGGTTTCAGCACTGAATATTTGTCGTCTCACACATGCTAATGGTAGAGGAATTAAACAAAATAATATAAATCCATTAAGTAATGAAGTGATCTTCCGCAAAATAACACCTTTATCACCATCATCAGCCCACTGCAGTCCACTGCTGGACATAGGCCTCTCCCAAGGCACGCCACTGGGCATAATCACGATAAAATCTTCTAAATTTATATAACTCAAAGGTGACTGACTGGTAAAATAAAAGTAGTCTAACATAGACTACTTTTATTTTAGATATTTTACTTATTTTAAATCCACCAACATGAAGATACAACTAATGGCTAGTCTATATATATAACCATAGTGATCTATCAACGCACAGCCCAAACCACTGGACGGATCGGGCTGAAATTTGGCATGCAGGTAGATGTTATGACGTAGGATCCGCTAAGAAAGGATTTTGATTAATTCTACCCACAAAAGGGATAAAATAGGGGATGAAAGTTGTATGAAACTTTGTCAATTTTAAACCGATCGGGCTGAGACTTTGCATACATAAAGCTACTATGACGTAAGCATCCCCTAAGAAAGGATTTTGATAAATTCCACCCCTAAGGGGATAAATTAACACGAGCGAAGCCACGGGTAAAAGCTAGTATAGAATAAATAGTATCACTAGATGGAATTTTTTTCGGCCTACTCTAATGATGTTGGACGATAGGGGTCGAGTGGAGAGAGAACTCCAAACCAAAGGAAGGACTTATGGAGCGGCTGAGAGCTGGCTCAGTCTGAGGGCATCGCTAAGGTTTGAACCTCGGCTCTGGTCGTCGTAATTTCGATCCCCGTTTAAATTGGACGGGGGATCGATCGGAAGGGACTAGATAGGATATAATGTGTTTTAAATGAAGACACGATAGCGAGATAAATTTTGGGCGAAACATTGAAACTAAAGAAACATCAGCTATCTTTTAAATGAAGAAATGATAGTGTTTAAACATTTTTAGTGGAACTAAAGAACAATCGTCTTGACATACCAGCTTCTTTATCAAGTCTCTCCCGATATTGATCAAGCCAGCATCCCCATGATGGATGAGAAGACAGACGCTTTAATGACCACTTGTCTTCTAATTTACCCTCATGCACCATCTCGCTTGGTTCTAACTGAAACACAAAATAATTTAAACATCTTTGAATAGAATAGAAATAGAAATAATCTTCATTCAAATAAACTCAATACAAGCACTTTCGAATAGTCATTATTTTTTATTCAACCACTCATTCGGAACGCTAATTCATCACAAGAAGAATGAGCATAAATATGAATAGAATTCGTATTTATTCAAATAAATACATATATAATATACATAGAAAACACCCAGACCGATACAAACAATCAAACTCAAGAATACCAATGCTTGTACCGTGCGAGGTATAGAACCCGCGACCATCGGATCTAATGCTGCTACACCGACCACGGCAATGTTCCACCCACCTTCACTACGCCACCAAGGAGCAGGATATTGTCAACTACTTACGAACCAGGAATAACCTGACATTGAGACTCAGCTGGAGTCGTGGCCCTGGTCCCCTCCTACATGCTGCCCACCATCACGACTAGTAGACTAGTACTACTAGCTGAAGGGGTGTGTCGGCGCTATTGTAGCAGATTGCCGTCGTCAGTGCCGTGACCACACAGACAATTTCAATATTTACTATTAATTCATATGTATGGTAGTCTATCTTCTTTGTTGTTTCCTCAAGACTGAGGGTCGGGACCACCAGGAATACTTCTTCCAACCAAATCTCTCCAGGCATTTCTATCTTGTGCCAAGTGGACCGTCGACTGTATATTTCACTAGACTGTCTCTCAAACAGAGTCAGTCCAACGTATAGGTGCCCTACCTCTGTCCCTTCTTCCGTCCACGTGGCTTACCTATACAAGTTAGTCTTAAGGTATTTATAATATGGCTCTTGTTGGTGGATTCCATCACGCTCTTTAATTGTTGATACGATACGACTTCCATTTTGTCCTGAATTTGTTTGATGTAGCTGTGCCTTGGTCTTCCCCTTCCCTCGTTCCTTCCATTTTCCCCTCGATAATAATTTTCATGAACTCATCGTGCCGTATCAAGTGTCCCAACATTTTTCCTCGTCTATTTTCTATTGTGTTCAATATCTGTCCTTTTTCTTTTACCCTGTGTAGTATTTCTTCGTTTCCTACTTTATCCCTCCAGCTAATTCTTTCCATCCTTCTCCAACATCACATTTCAAAAGCCTTCAGTTTGTCCTTTTCTTTTTGATTTAATGTCCAGACATAGGTTATTAATATGGGCCTAGTAGTCTGAAATAAATAAAAAGCTGTGTAAACGCTAGACTACCGATACCGTCAAATTCAATATTTACTTCAGCTAGTTGTCTAAACGTTGATGTGAAATCAGCTCCTGTCTGCTGCATCATATCAAGCAACTTCTCTACCAATTGCTCATCTCCCCAACGCTCTTCTTTTAGGCCGACTTTCATCAAAAATGTTTCCCTGAAAATAGAATTATAAATTTTGCTTTTTTTAATAGAATATATTCGTATATCTGGATTATTCTAGTCGCAGGTTCCATTCCTTGAACGGTCAAACATTCGTATTCATGTGTATGTTTGTGTGTATCGATCTGGTTGTTTTTTTTTTAGCTGCTAATGGAATGATGTACCCGCCTGCGCTAATGGTTTACCCTGGTGGGGCTCCAGTAGAGGTTAAATAGCGCTGTGTGAATTATCCTAAGATATTAGTACTATTTTATTAAGATCCATTCAGTGGTGCAGTAATGAAAATTGAATTAACAGACAGACATTTTAAAATAATATGGTATTTGAATGTAAAGTAAAACAGAATAAGAACACTCACAATATTTTGTTTTTGCAGTATGTATCCAAAGTCTTTAATATATGTGACATATGTCCTTGCTGAGATGAGGTCAATAGAGGCTTCAGAGCGTTAGCTAGTTGTCCCACATTCCATATAACAACCTGTCAGATATAAAAAGGATTGAGTGAAATAATGTAACAGGAACTACGAACTAAAACATATGTAAAGAACTAAAAGTCGAGAACAGTAAATATTCAATAGATGTTTTCTTCAATTCCAATGGGTAATTTACGACGACCTTAACCGAGGTGCCAACCCTTAGAATAAAAGAACTAAAATTTATCATTAATTCTATTCTAATGGGTATTTATATTACGACGGCTTAAGCTGAGATATACGACTTTATTCTAAAGGTTAGGGGTTGCCCTAACCTTTAGAACTTAGTCGTATCTCTCAGGCAAGAGTTGACCTTCAGCCGTTCCATAAGCACTTCCGCAGGTTTGGAATGCCATATCTGAGCTCTATTCAATGCCTGATGATGCCTCGTTCAGAGACAAAACATCACCAATATGCGTGTAGATATTCATTAGAAGTCGGAATTTGATAATCAATAGAGAAGATCGTAATGCTTCAAGTTGCATAGGTCAGGACAGTCAGACACAGGCTAATGGTAACAGAATTAAACAAAATAATATAAATCCATTAAGTAATGGAATGGACTTCCGCAAAATAACACCTAATTTCATTCATGAAGCTGTTCATGCAGCCACTCACCTATAGGCCACTTACCATCATGTGGGCCATCAGGTTGTTTATCATTCCAGGCTACTCACAGAAGATAAAAAACATATGCAATTATATGCAGTTGAATGTTGTTTGTAACACAACTTTGTGTGTATGTATATGTATATAAATAATAAAAATGAATTCTTTTAGATTAGATATATATTTAATATAGGTACGTGAACTGTCATCGTTACACTACAAAGAAATCAATGACAATTATATTAAAAATAGACAATTAAAAAGTTATGTCATAGACAAATTTTAATATCTTACATCAGGTTGTTTCCCCAATGCATATTTTCCTTCGCCATCAGAACAGTTGGCTACAAAACCACCATCGTAAGAGTCAACGAAACCAAATGGGCCGTAGTCTATAGCAAGGCCAAGTAAGCTCATATTGTCAGTATTTAGTAGGCCATGTGTAAATCCTAAACCTGCTAAAGCAAGATCATGTTTTTCTTAAGGTTTCGGCTTATTACTCAATGCTTTAGACTTTATTGTACTCGCCCTTCTTTAGGAATTCGCTGGCTAGGGCTGTCAGGGATAAGAGTTGAAGGATATTTTTAGAAGCGATGGCTTTATTTCCTCAGGATAGAGGGAACACTTTCTAAGGAGGTATATTGTTAATGAATGTGTGGACTATAACCACATAGAATTTAGTGGCGATTCCTGTGGTAAAATCTGTAAATCTTTGTTAATCACAGACCTAAGTTTGACCTGAGTTTATTCAATTTGCAGGGACCTAGTCATGATGCCCATATTATTTTTACTCGAGATCATGTTACCATACATAAAATACCTCATACAAATTTCATTTATACCCCTCCTTCTCCCCCCTCATGTCACAGCTGGTCACATTATAATAGTTAATATTTCATGATTTAATACTAAAATTGGAAAGAGAAGACAGTTTTAAGAAATCTGGAATTGCTTTTAGATTTTATTTTTTCCCTAAGCATATGACTCCCACAATCTCCTGTTACACTTCATCAACATACCTCTCCCCAATTTATGAGGAATTTGTTCAGGGGTATCCACTGTTAAAAACGACATAAAAGTAATATCAATTGTAAATAAAACTATTACCTTGCCATTTGGCAACAAGATCTAAAGTCCTGTGTGCGATCTCAGAAAATAATCTGATAAACCGATTCTCATCGCTCAAGTGTATGTCTGGAAAGTATTCCTAGAACAAAAAGAAATTTACTCTAGAAATATCAGCTCTAATCGATCTCCCGTTCAATTCAAATGGAGATCGAAATTACAACGCCCCGAGCCGAGGAACGAACCCCTAGCGGTACCCTCAAACTAAAGTCGAATCCATCAGACGGGAGATGGCCTTCAACCGCTCCAGAAGCCCTTCCGCGGGTTTGGAGTGTCATCTACACTCGCTCCCTATCGTCCGGTGAAGCTGTAAAGGCCAGCTGCGGCCAACAGCGTTAGAGTAGACCGAAAAATATTATAGTCGTCTAAATGTGAGCATGTGTAGTAGAAAAAATCTTAAAGGTTTCTTATTTATATAATGATAAAGTACAATTTTGTACCTTGATGATAAAATCAGAGAGTTGCCTCAACACAGCCACCTCTCCATTCTTTGAGAGAATCTCAAGAGAACCAAAGCGGAACCAGCTGGGTGCCAGTCGCAGCATTACCGCTGCTCGCTCTCTCCGAGGGTTGCCATTGTAATACATATCTCGGATCACTGTTTCGTCGCTGACTAACAAAAAAAAATTAAATCTTACATCATTAAAAAGGACATCAACATCCATTAAAAAGGGAATGAATTTATTTTAATATAAATAGTGATCGCCCAATGGTTGAAATTCAATCATAATTAATTTAAATTATAAGTTTGATCATTATTAATGTTCTGTTGTCTTATGGGGTATGTCAAAAACATGGTAGTGTGTTTAATGTTCCTTTTTATTTTTTTAATGTATTTTTAAGCATATATTTAAAAAAAATATTAGCATTCTGTACTCCTTCTAAACTAAACTAAAAGTCTGCAAAATTTCATACTGATCTGTGCGCGCAATATTTGTAAAGATGGGTACCTACAAAGTTTTTGCTTCACGTTGCAATCTTTACATATTATAAAACAAGTCGCTTCCACTGCTGTCTGTTCGCTTATATCTCGTAAACTACGCAACAGACAGTTTTTAGCAATAGATAGTGACTCAAGAGGAAAGTTTATACCTTATTATTATTATAAACGGGAAAGTTTGTGTATGGATGTATGTTTGATACTCTTTCACGCAAAAACTACTGAACGGATTTTGATGAAGGTTTACAGTAATATAGATTATATATAATAACATATAGGCTGTAAATTTCTCGCTGGTGAAAATTCATTCTCTCTCCGTGACTACTACTTCACGTATTTTTATGATATTTTTATTGCCACAATACATTTGTATTCGTGGTATGATTGTTTGTATCGGGTTTTAATACAGTGTTTAACTATAGGTATATAATATGCATATATTTACAAAAAAAAATCGATGTATATGTATCAGTTATCTAGTACCCATAACACAAGCTTTAGCTAGATAATTGAGTCTAGATGGCGCTGTGTGAATTGTCCTGAGATTATTATAATTATTATTATAGTTAATATTTCACGTATTTTTGGACAGTATATAGTTTGCTTCCACTGTCTGTTGGCTTAGATTTTTTATGTAACGGGTTTTAATACAGTGTTTAACAATAGATAGTAATTCAAGAGGAAGGTTTATATAAAACTATAACCGTGTGAAGGCAGGGCAAGAAAGTGACTTAGTTTTTTTTATTTATCCATATGGATGATGATGGAATGGCGCACATGCCTGCGCTAACGGTATACGCTGGCGGGGTACCAGTTCAGGATGATAAGATGAGCATGAGGTCAAGGAAACAGTAAAAATAGCCCATCGTGACAAATTCACCAATTCATTTATCAGGATGGTTTCCCAGAGTCTACCGCGTGAGAGGTCGACCTGACATGGTACATTTATAGATATACAATATATAGGATTATTGGTCCACATTACTAACAATTCCTTTCTCCCTTGCGGATACCTAGTATAATGATAAAACTCACCAACTAAACCAGCCGCTCTTGTAGTGGGTATACCAAGAAAGTGACAAGCTTCGCATCCAATCATTTCCCTGATGGCAGAACGAAGAACAGCCCGTCCATCATGGATGCGAGAGTATGGAGTCTGACCGGAGCCCTTCAGCTGGATCTGCCATCGGTCTCCCTGACTGTGGTATATAGATAGATAGATATACCGTTTATTTGTTTGTTACTAATCACACACAACATGTTCATAAGAATATAAAATACATAATACAACATAAGATTTATAAAATTAGTTATTATGTGTGATCTGTAGCAATACAAAACATATATCAACATATTTTTTATGGTTCAGTGCAATGACTGCCTCATCCGTCATACTCGTGAACGGGTGCTGCTTGTGGGGACTGGTCTGTTCGGGTTACGAACACTGATTAGAATATTTTCTTTTTACAAAACTGCAATAGCATATGAGGGTGGTCATGGTACAATATTCTCCCAAATTAATTTTTTTTTTTTTAAATATGTACAACCTTATTTGAAAACAATACGAGCTGAGTTTCTTGTCAGTTCTTCTCATCTCGAAATCATTCCGAACTGACGGTAGATTTGACAATAGAGATATTAAATATACAACCAACTGATTGAGAACTAAATCAGCACTCGTTCACGAGTATGACGGATAATATAATAAAATTGAATATGACTTTTAAAAAAGAAAGTGTCCGTGAATATTCAGAAATTATAGGCACCTATTTACGTATTCTCCAAGAATATGAGCCCTTCCATCTCCTAATTGTCCCGCCCAGGATCCATATTGGTGACCGCCATATCTGGGAATAGACTATTATTATTTTTTCTTTCTAAGCCCATCTCGTAATCCGTCAGACTATGAGCAGATGTGGTAAAAGTTACGTCGCGGATAGTGAGTGATTCTCAGTAAATTTAAAACATCAATGAAATCATATTTATTGAGAAAATTACTCACTAAACGATTACTTAAATGACAAACGTGCATGGCAGAAGTTGTTCATGTACGGGATTTTCATGTATATTAGACATAGTACTTATGTAAATAAACTGGCTTTTAAAAAAAGAAATTCAGACGGAACAGGCAAAGATCCTTAGACCATACAGCTTAGTGTACTTTTAGGTTCGTAGTTGCGTATCCATTTTTTTTTATATATTTTTATACTAGTACCTATGAGCCACAGGCAAAGCTCCATACGGCAGTTTTTGGCCAGCAACGAATTCAGCAAACTCCTCCCTATTGACTATATCTGGATCCATATCTAGAATGTTCATCAAAGCGTCCTCGGATACACATACTAACTGAATATTACGTTCAAGTGGCCGCGGTGTCACCTGTAAAGATAATTCTTAACACAATATAAAACAAACTCGTCGGCGATGTCTATTCCCTTATATCTTTTAAATTACGCAACGGATTTTAGTTAAGTTTTCAGTAGTAGATTTATATGAAGAAGGAAGGTTTATATGTATAATACATGTGTATTATAGTATAGAACAAACCGAGAAATTATGCATCCGTGCGAAGCGGATACGGTTCGCTAGTAATAGCAAGTTACGGTGTTGTGACAAAAATATCCTAAGTCTGCTGAAATGTTTCCAAATTTTAATAGTATTATGAATATGAAAATCATCATTCTAATATGTACCTCGGAAAATACGACATTTTTTGTATTTGATATATTTTGATTATGATTTTCGTCAATAGGTAACAATATATATTTAGGATATTGACTAAATCGCCATTCAGTTAAATTTTTCTTTAAATATACAGTCTCGCCTTCCATTTTCATGGGTAAATATTTTAATTTAATTGTAAAATATAAAAAATATTGTTCAAGAAAACAGAAAACACGACAGCTTATGAAAATGTCATTCAGTTTTTCAGTGTTCAAATATTCAAATCTCCCGCTTTTTAATTGTCTATGATAAGAAAGTAGTAATGTTACCAGTAATAAAATTACGAACAATCTAAAAATTCACGGTCTTAAGTAGGTTCTCTTTAAATTGGAAACTAAATGGGAAATTTTTATACTGAATATAATTTAAAACTAGGAATCCAAATTTCAGCAGAACAAAAATAATAAAATCCATAGATATATCATAGATATAAATAAATTTTTAAGAAATACAATCTTAAAATCTAATTTATTTCATTCGTAATGATTTGTAAAAAAATGTGTTGTAAATCAGGCACAGCAAAGTAATTGAAAATTGCGTAAAGCAAATGAAAATGAATGAATGAGTGAGTTACTGCCACTTTCTGCAGTTCTCTGCGTTTACTGGTCAAGGTCATGATTACCCAACAAAATTTTAAAAACTATACATAGAAGCGAAATTCTAACAAAACTGTGAAATTTATATTGGTCGACTTATAATCATCGGAACTCATCCGGTATGAAATTCGTCAGTTCGGCGACCGCAATTTCAAGTTCACTTTCGAGTCTGTACTACTTTCTCGTTTTCTCGCTTTCGAAAAAAAAAATTCCTATACACAGTGTCAGGAAACTATTAGTTTACGTAAATTCGCGGTGAGAGGTGAATTAAAATAGTGACCAGTGCAATAATTTTCCGCTTTGTATGGATTTTAATTGACGAATATGGTGTACACGGAGGGATATTTGAAGGAAAAGCTCACCAAGGAATTGGACGCCGTTCACGTCGTAAGTACTGTCAAATTACACTATCGCGTTGCTTACCGCTGCATTTAGAAATTAGTTTTATGAATGAATATCACTCGTATTAAGGTTAAATGAGCATAGTTTTGACGTAATGTCCAGAAAATCGGATCCGGATAGATTCAATGTCACGAAGGATGCTCTGCTTCCTGGCGTGTTCCTCGCCCTACTTGTGCGGTGGTGTGTAGCAGCCTACCCGTATTCCGGTCAGAAAAAACCGCCGATGTTTGGAGATTATGAAGCGCAGCGACATTGGCAAGAGATAACTGTGCATTTGCAGGTTAAGAATTGGTATCACAATACCACGCAAAACGACCTCCAGTACTGGGGTTTGGATTACCCGCCGCTCACGGCGTACCACAGTTTGTTGATGGGCTTGGTGGCGGAATGGATTGACCCAGAATCAGTGAGACTATTTGCTTCGAGAGGTTATGAAGGTGATGCTCACAAAACATTCATGAGGTGGACAGTTTTCCTCAGTGATTTGTATTTCTATGTTACAGCTGTACTCTGTTTATGCATAGATGGAGAGAGAGTGAAGCCCAAAGATCAGAAAAATGTGTTCAAGAGAATGGACATTGCGACTATAATATTTCTGTTGTATCCCGGCTTGATTCTTATAGATCATGGGCATTTTCAGTACAACTGTGTGTCTTTAGGGTTGTTCTTGTGGGCTGCATTTTTTATAGTGGCCATAGAGAATGATATATTAGCGACCATATTTTTTGTTCTGGCCCTAAACTATAAACAGATGGAGTTGTATCATGCATTGCCATTATTCTGTTATTTGTTACGTAAATGCTTCATAGGTTTGCATCCTAAAGGTCGGATTAAGCATATTATTAATAATTTCAACAAATTAGCTGTGGCAGTGATAACCTGTTTTATTCTAATTTGGTTTCCTTTTACGAAGTCTTGGAAGGATATATTCCAAGTGGTGCACCGAGTGTTTCCCTTGAAAAGAGGTGTTTTTGAGGACAAAGTTTCTAATGTGTGGTGTTTTATTAATGTATTTGTTAAACTTAAAACAGTTTACACAAATGAGGATATGGCACAGATGTGTTTGGTCTCGACAGCGGCGGTTGCACTCCCCTCTTGTTTAGACTTGTTCTTCCGAATTAACAAGAAAAAATTTGTCCTATCGCTTATTAATGTTTCACTTGCATTTTTCCTATTTTCCTTTCAAGTACATGAGAAAAGTATACTCCTAGTGGCTATACCGGTCGCCATGCACTTCCCCGAAGATCCTTTCATGTGTTTTTGGTTTCTACTCGTATCTTCCTTCAGTATGCTGCCTCTACTCTTGAAAGATGGCTTGTTAATCCCTTTTGTGGCCACACATGTCATCTATATATGCTTCTACAGCATATCAATTAAGTTAGCACAGCCAAATGCAGGTTTTTTCTCATTTTTCAATGCGAAACGTTTGGCAAAGGCTGTACAGGGTGCGGAAAATGAGAATTCTGTTTTGGTCAACCTTTTGAGTGTGAATTTCTTCTTCTCTTTCCTGGGTATGGTCTTCATGACAGTTGCTTCAGTAGTTATAGTACCACCACCTTCATACCCTGATTTGTTCCCATTAATGATATCCGTATACTGTTGTTCACATTTCTTGCTGTTCTTCATATATTTCAACCATCAGCAGCTGTCTCTCCCTGTTAGTTTGCCAGCAGTAACCAAAGTGAAAAGTAAATAATAGTAGCTAATAATAAGTAGTTGAAACTTTTACATTCCTAATAAAATATTGCATTTGAAATCAAATGGCCTTTTTACTTTACATACAATAATCTTTTTTACTACATTCTTGAATCAATTACACTTCTAATATTTACTAAATGCTTTAGTATGAATTTAATAACAATATAATAATAATAGTAACCCTAAACTCACACATAATGTTCATAGAAAACAACAATACAAATAATAATTATACTTATGAAAACAAATGAATGTTCAATCACCTATCACAGGAGTTACATGTATTTTGTGATGCCAGTGGTATTGTTCATGTATGTAGGAGTTTGTCACCACTTGGTATACAGAGATGACACCTTATTTCCATTTAAATAATTACATTTTGAATATAAAAGATCCTACAGCTTAAATGCTATATGTCATACATTATATACACAATGTTACGGACTGTATTAAGGCTGGTTAAAAATGAGACACATTCCTAGGTGAGGTAAAATAAGTGTAATCAGCTCGCTAGCAAAAATATAAAGACAATATGGCATAAGAAAGCAAACGGTATATAAAAACAAAACGTCGAAATATAAAATTCAAATATATATAAAAAACATAAAAACTATCAAAAAGGTTGCCATCGGCAACATGCTCTATATATCAGCTTTACAGTAAGTGCATATGAAGGTATATGGTATGGTAATGCATATATGGTACTTAGATAAAAAATAAATTAAAAAATTGTCTGTCTCTCTGTTTGTCCTTGTTCATCTCTTATAAGGCAGGACCGTTGTAACGAGTAGGTATGTTAGACTACTTTTATTTTAGATATTTTACTTATTTTAAATCCACCAACATGAAGATACAACTAATGGCTAGTCTATATATATATATATATATATATATATATAACTCAAAGGTGACTGACGTAGTGATCTATCAACGCACAGCCCAAACCACTGGACGGATCGGGTTGAAATTTGGCATGCAGGTAGATGTTATGACGTAGGCATCGGCTAAGAAAGGATTTTGATTAATTCTACCCCCAAGGGGATAAAATAGGGGATGAAAATTTGTATGAAACTTTGTCAATTTCAAACCGATCGGGCTGAGACTTTTTTTAGAAAAATAAAGTTAAATTCCACACGGACGAAGTCGCGGGTAGAGCTAGTGTTTATATATATATAGAGTGTATGTTTGTATATAGCAGACGTGGCCAGTCTGTTGAGTATGTAATTCCGATTCCAAAGTCCCACATTAATGAATGTCTGCGGCACGTGCGTGCAGTGAAATCATGTACAAAGTTATGCAATAATAATGGTGAAAACTGCACAACGCGTGCATACCCGCCCGTACTACGTACTGGCGTACAAAAATGTACTGAGTGGTAAATGCGGCTCACACTTGACTCCCTTTTAGGTTTTTTTTATGGATGGTAATGGAATAGAGCACCCGCCTGCGCTAACGGCATACGCTGGCGGGGCGCCAGTGGAGGATGATAAGATGAGCATGAGGCCAGGTCAGTTAGCCCATCGTGACATATTCACCAAGAATTTATCACGACGGTTTCCAGGGGGAACCGCGTGGAGGTCAACCTGACATGGTACATTGGTGACTGGTGCCCCGTCAGAATAAACCGTTAACCCAGGCGTGCTTACCAATAAATTTATCACCCATCCAAGTCCAAACCGTCCAAAGATCAGATCTCATATTCATCATAATATAAATCTTCGGCAGGTAGTTTATTTCACAATCGGGACGTTGGCGGGGCACCAGTGGAGGACGATACACCCGCGTATCATCCTCCACTGGTGCCCCGCCAACGTAATCCGTTAGCGCAGGCGGGTTCAACAATAAATTTATCATCCATTAAAAAAAGCGGCATGGCTAAGAAGTAAGAGGTAAAACAGACTGACTCGGACATTGACTTTGTTTTATATTGTTTTGAGAATAAGGATAATGTAGCCAAAGAATAGATAACATATTGTGCTTTGCCTTGAAACATACCGCAATGCGGAGAAATACATTTAGTAACAAAATTGATCTATGTTACAGGTTATTTTTTTAATAATATTTTTTTATAATAATTTTTTAATATATATACTTTTTTATAATTTTTTTTTTTATAATAATTTTTTAATAATACGAATAGGCTCAGACCACAGCTTGTCTGAAAGATGTACAGTAAGAAATATATCTTACTAATACAAACCCGGAAGTTTGTAAGTGTGGATGGTTGATTGTTCGTTACTCTTTCAAGCAAATACTAGTGAAATGGATTTTAATGAAACTTTATATACATCAGAGTAGAATATAGGCTACAAAGTTTTTTACCCGTTGAATTCTGCCAACTCGAGTTGGAAGAATTCAACTGCATGCTTTTATGAGAAGATACATGAAAAAGTCAATTATAGATATTACTTACAATAATTGTAATATGTGAGGAGATTACTCCCGCGTACATTAGATTGTGAAATGAACTACCTGCCGAGGTTTTCTCACGAGACTACGACATGGGGTTTTTCAAGAAGGATATATTAATGTTTCTTAAGGGTCAGCACGTAATAACCCCTGTTGTTTCGGGCGTCCATAGGCTACGGTAACCGTTTACCATCAGATGGGCCGTATGCTTGTTTGTCACCGTAGTAGTATTAAAAAATGAATAAATAGATTACAATAATAATCAGAAAACTTGGATGCCGTAATAGATGGCAGATGCAATCATATTTTATGATTTACTAACTATCCACCCCGGCTTTGCACCTTCCTCTTGAATCACTCTATCTATTAAAAGAACGGCTTCAAAGTCCGTTGCATAGTTTTAAACATTTAGGCTATGTAATAATGATGCAAAAATTCCGTTTTTAGCAGGCAATTATCGAGTCTATATTACTATTCCCGATTCCCGAAGCTGTGGCATGAGTCATCTAAGTCATTACAAAAAAAACCCACTGCCAAATATGATTAACTGTTACTGATGTAATTTCTAAGTACAGATGATGTGAAGACAATACGAGTATGCCAAATGTTTCTGAGAACTCGTTATAGTGATGATTTTCCTTGTCTAGTTAAGCTTTCGACGGCTTCGCCTGGTTTAGCGGTTTGGCACACCTCTTTACTTCCGACGGTCGCGGGTTCGATTCCTTACACATTGCAAATATATGTATTTATGAGTATTATAGTAATTTTTAAACGGATTTATATATTTGATTTAACTTTGCATAGTTTTTGATTATTTGAGTTATATGTTATATTTGATTTAACATTGCATTTTTTAAATGAATTACAAAAAGAAGTACTATTGTTGTCTGGCGATTTAGTCTACGTGGAATTTTACTTTTACTTTTAATTAAAATATTTTTTTTTATAACAAAAGTAGTCTAAGTTACTTCTAATAATGTCTGCTACAAGTGAAACTCCCGTCAAAATCGGTCCAGCCGTTTCAGAGATTAGCAAGAACAAACGAACAGACAGAAAAACAAAATTAATTACCTTATAACTGATGTGCAAGTGAAAAACTGTTAATTTGAAAATACAAACACTTAATTATATTTATTTTTATACATGTTTATACGCTATTTATCTATGGGAAAGTAGGACAAGTATTGTATTAAATAACTGGTATTATATATATACATTGTTATTATTGTAATATTTATAGACAGAAATAGGTCACATAATAACTTTACTGTTTTTTTTTATTTTATTTATTGGGTTGTTTGGGCTATTATCAGATGTTTGTAGCACCTGTAGCACTGCGACCTACATCGATCTATTACTCGCCCTTTTTCCAAATTCGCTACCTAGACCCGCCAGGGACAAGAATTGAAGGATATTCTTAGGAGCGATGGTTTTTATCTCCTCGGGAAAGAGTATAAAGTTTAGTGTTATTGTAACTTAAAACAATGGACCAATTGATATGCATACCTCGTATGGATTGGAGAACGTTATACAAATTTGTATGAGTCATTTTTTAATCATATTTATCAAAGGTATATTGTGGCAAGCACAAAACCTCGCTGGTACCTCAGTCTTCTATTCCACCCGCTAAGCAGCTTGCTTTGGTTGTAGTGTGCAGATTAGGCAGTGAAATTACATGACTTTAGACTCCTCCGATATATCCCCCGTCCAATTCAAACGGGGATCGAAATTACGACGGCCTAAGCCCTAAACCGAGGTTCGAACCCCTAGCGGTGCCCTCAGACTAAACTCGTATCCGTCGGCGGAGTTTGCCTTCAACGTCTTCATAAGTCTTCCCGCTAGTCTGGAGTGCCATCTGCATTCGCCCCCTATCGTCCGATGATGCGGTAAAGGCCAGCTGTGGCAAACAGCATTAGAGTAGACCGAAAAAAGAATGCCCTTAATGGTATCAATGACGACGCATAAGAATTCAAAATTCAAAAATCATTTATTCATGTAGGACATTTTAGCCGCTTATGAACGTCAAATTTTTACATTAAAATTTTATTTTTTCCCTACCGTCCAGTTCGATATATAGATCCAATTGAGAAGAACTGGCATTAAGGACTCGTCCTTAATGCTATTCAAGTTATAGGCGACGATTATCGTCAGGCTTGTTTGCCATTCACGTCTGACTCATTTCTACCGCCAGGATTAGACTTGACAGCCTGTTTGTTTATTTTTCGAACGGTGAGATATGGGGCCGTTCAAGTATTACGTAAGCATTCAAGGGGGGTTGGGGGAGGCACTATAGGGTGGCGGTGCGGCGGACTATAGTCTTTGTTTGCTTATTTTCGATGATATGGGGGGTAGGGAGTCTAAATGATGATTACGTCATTGGTAGTTATTTACTGTTTTTTTACACGAATGGCAACCCTCACTCTGTTTAAAATTACAATACTTTAATTGAAAAATGTTTCCATAATCAAAAAATTTAAATGAAAATCAGCGTCGTGGCTTTTGTCATGGCATAATGCTGAGATGGGCCCCTTACACACACATCAGTACACAGTGACGCGGTGACGATGCTCCGCAGTGGTGGATACGCATTTTTTTTTTCATTTTTATCATTGTTTTTGGTATATGTGTTT